GGGCCTGATCACAGAGATAGTGATGGACAACGCGCCTGCATATAGGCTTGCAGTAGATGAACTCATGCGCAAATACAGGATTCACCTGATCCGCATCTCGCCATATAATTCTCAGGCAAACGGTATAGTCGAAAGACGACACCATGATGTCTGGGAGGCCATCATTAAAAGCTGCGATGGAGATGATTCTCGCTGGTATCAGGTAGTTCATTCAGTGTTCTGGGCTGAGCGCGTCACCATTCATAAAGCGATGGGTTTATCGCCCTATTTCATGATGCATGGCATCGAGCCAATATTTCCCTTTGATCTTGCAGAAGCGACGTTCCTCGCGCCCTTACCAAGCCGAGGCGCATTCACCACTACTGACCTTATAGCGTGGCACGCGCGCCAATTGCAGAAGCGCGTAGAGGATATTAACGCGATCAGGGATAAAGTAGTCGCGGTGCACTACAAGTCCATACGCAATTTTGAGAAACACTTCCACGCGTCTATCAAATCGCACGACTTCGAACCCGGCGCCTTAGTATTGGTATGCAACTCGAAGGTCGAATACGAACTGAGCAAGAAGACGAAGCCACGCTATTTGGGACCTATGATCGTAGTGCGTCGCACGAAGGGAGGCTCATATATGTTGGCCGAGTTGGACGGTGCAATCTCAAAACTCCGGTTCGCCGCGTTTCGCATCATCCCTTACTACCCGCGTAGCGAGGAGCGCGTATCGGTAACCCAAATGACTGGAGTAGACGACGAGAGCATCGACGAACTAGAAGCATATGAAACCGTAGAGCCCGAAGAAGACGAGCCCGAGCGCGCGCAAGACAATTAGCGCACGCAACCATATTCCCCACCCCGCACATCACCCAATCATATTCGTGCAAACGCGCAGTCCTCAAAAACATAAAAGCAAAAACACCAGATAATATGAAAAACACAAAAATATTCCATTAAGTACATACTCTCAGTTTTACCCCAGGTTTCATCCGGTGATATCTTTCATCTCATTTGTTCATATAATGCGCATTGCCTGCACATAAACCCCACAGACTCTAGAATATATCAATCGCACCACGAAAAACGCTAATACCCCGCAAGTACATACTGATCACTACCTTATTTGTATAGTGCGCGCATAATCACCTCAATAGACTTTCACCTTCTAACGCGCGTGCGGTGCAACAAGACAGGGATAGATGACGGAAGGCGCACGAAGAAGACAAGATGGGCGTGCACCCCGCAGAAAATTCAGTAAAGTCTATCGCATTACCTTGATCTCGTCTCGCGCTTGTCCCTTACTTACATACTTATAATTTTAATTTATTAGCCCAGTGAATCAGATGAGGACATGGACATGGACATGGGACAAGACAACACAAGGATCTATTGCAAAGGCGCATTGGCGCTTAGGAGACAAGAACAACAAAACAAAGGTGCATCTACTTAAGGGAGTCATTGATCTGCCTCTCCAATTCAGCCCATGTGTTGGACATAGCGAAAAACTTGTTGGAATAGTTGAGGAGGTCCGCCTGTTGGGCGCGCGCATACTGGCGCATCTGGAGAGTGGAAGTTCGCAAGTGCACATTTTCCTCCTTCAAACGCGCGGCCTCCGCGCGCGCCTCTTTCAACTCCACCGCTGGATCCTTGGACTTGTCCTTTCCCTTAGGTGCAGAACCAGGCGCCAAAGGACCAATGGCGCGCACAGGAATATCGTGCGAGGCGCGCACGACCTTTTCCTCCACAGAACGCTCCCTAACAATCTCCACATCCATCTCAGACTCCTCAGATTCTTCTTCATCCTCAACAGCAATAGAGGAAGCGGTTTCCTTTGCGGACTCAGCAATAGGGCGCTTAGGCATTGGTTTGCGCGGGCGCGCCTTATGCGCATCTGTATAGTTGCGCTTAGCTAATCCACAGCAGTCAGTGGCGCGCGCCAACAAAATACAAAAGGTGTGACTTACAGAAAGTGCAAGCGCGCTTGGACACATCACAAGGAGGGCACCGGCGACCAGGTGCGCCTCCGCAGTCTATGTCCTTGGCAATGCAAGCACCACAGTGCCGCACCTTGACCACAGACATGCGCCTGACACGAGGCTAGCGCAGCCAGACATGTTAATAGAGTGGCGCGCCAACAGGAAACAGAAGACGCACCTTCTTGCTGACATCAGTACCAGACGTGTTAGTGGCGCGCGCCTCGACTTCGGACGCGCCAGTGGCGCACGCAGCTTGCATGGGAGGCGCCTGGGGAACTGAGGCAATCACCTTCGCCTTCCAGTCTTTCACGACCGCCTCAATCTCCTTACAACTCTTCTGCCCCTGCTTTAACAACTCCACGCTCTTGTCATCCATCTCCAGCGCCAATGCCAACACACCCGCGCGCATGGAATAACTGTTCAAGGTGGCCTAGGAATGTCAGTCCACAATAGATGAATACATGTAAGCGCACTCACCAGCACTGAATACCACTCGCGCAACCACATCTCTTGATCCTCGAGGAGTTCTGGCTTGAGATCAGGCACGGACATCACACATCCTTCCAAAGAGACCAGAATGGAGGCCCAAGCAACAAGGAGGCGGTCAGCATCGGATTCTGCACTAGCGTCGCCCATAGGTGCGTCCTCAGGAGGCCCTTGCGCCACTGGAACAGGCTCAGGGGAAGGAGTGGCGTTCAGCATAGCAACATTGAAAGTAGGCATGGTGAGAGATTGATAAGAAAGAAGTCAAGAGATCGCGAGAATGCGTCCATCTTCTTATCAACATCTCCCCCGATTACATCATCAATGCTCGCGATCATCAAAGGACGACCCTACTCTCGCGGTCACCTGATCCCTGTCTATCACCACTTCTTCAAGTCCAAGATCCCGCGCTATAGCACTGAGTGGGGACACTCAGAATGTAAGTCCCCAGGAGATGTAGAGACTCGCGCGTCTCAATGCTGAGTATCCGGCCTTTATCCATACATTCCTATATGATCCAGCTCTAATCCAAAGGACCAGTCTCACGCGCACTCGCGCACGCATTCATGTGCCTCCTCCTAGGTCTTCGTGCTATTGTCCGTCCATTCGTCCCATGTCCTTACTGATTTGCTGGTGCGTTATTCCTATCTCCTTCATTGAACTAACAAATCATCGGTCTGAAATCCGCGCTACATATAGAAAGTCTATTTAAACTTAGCTATAATTAGAGTTGATATGGTTACTCGGTTCAGGAGCGCGCTCGGAAGTGCGCCGCATAGTGTAATCTCCATTCTTAAATAGAGAAGGGAATCTTTGGGTTCTGGTACTTACTTTCCCCTTATCTTTGTGTACTGGAAAGTGTATAGATCACCTCCTCACTTGATATCTGATCTGATTCTCCTGTCAACCATCCATCTGTGCATCCACTCTTCAAATAGGATCTTTCCCTTAACATTCTAGGCGTGCGCGCATTCTCGAACCTCCCGCTCACGCGCGCATCTCGCCCGCCTTTGCGCGTGTTACCTTCTCGCGCTTGCTAGCGCCTGCCTAGCTCATACAGTCTCCCTCCATTTTTATTTCAAGGAACTTCTCTCAGTGGTTGTCCTTTGGGTCGAGTCGTTGTCTCGTATCCTGGTCTTGCTGTAGAGCACCCATTTGTTTTAAGTGTTTTCACCTATAGTCAAGATTCCTCTTCTACACCGTCATCATTGAGAATATACACAACATGGGCTCATGATCCGCTGGCCCATCTCATATGGGATATTATGGAGGTCGGGTGGCCCGTATAATACGGAATTTGTCACTGAAGGGGCTCGGGCTACCACGACCTACATGGCCCAGTAAGATGATTGACAAGATCAATAGTCTTGAAAGTCGCTTATATACTGTATAGGCTTGCTTTCTCCAGAGCCCAGGTCGAGAGTGGGAAGGCCATCAGTGCTGTGACCCGCTGTAGAGACTCATGCCTCTCATGGCGTGATATGGCAGTTTCTACCAAGGAGTATACAGCACGAACTTGCAGCACCACCCTGTGTGCTATCCACAGCTATTCCTATATGAGGCACAGCTTTCCCATGCAATGCGCACCATTCCTGTGCTTTGCGATGTATATGCACGTGCGCTTTCCCGCGCTTGAGCACCCTATAGCACCAGCCATCCAGAAGCATCCATCCACTGTCCACCAAGCCCTCTAGTGGATTTATTTCCATTTCTCTTATTAGCATATCGTTCCACCTTTATTTTTATCATGGACTCTCACTCATATATATCTTTACATACCTTACTCAGTAGCGCTTCGGCTCCGCATCACAGCGCTTAGGTGTGCTATATAAGCGCCAGCAGTACATACTATTAACTTACTGAACTTCACTTTGGCACTCACTTACAAGTTACTACCCACTTACTACTTAGTAGAACATAGTAGAAATCTATTTGTCTACACTTCACATCTCTCTTCTCTGGTCTTACATCATATTATCACTTAAGCTTATTCTCTCTCATTTCCGCATACACGCGCGCACTTTCCCACGCTTCGCGCAGCACGTGTGCGTGTTCCCGCGCCTTTGTGCCTTACGCACACCTGCGCGCTTTCTTGTGCTTTGCATTGGCCAACCAGTAGCACCTTCAGCGCATATCACTAGATCCTATCTCCTTGATCAATGATCAAGACAATGAGTGCCGGTGGAACTTACTATGTGTTTTGGTCTTTGGATATACCAACTTTGCTTGTTCGCACTTGTGCGCTTGTTTTTCTGCCTTGCCAAGCTAAGTAGATACATGTAAATAAGTTGTACTGTACTACTTCTGCGAACTCATTTGCCTTCGCTGCCTTATCCTAAACATCCTGCCTTACCTTGCCTTAAACTTACTTGCAATGACGTTGGCCTTAGAATAAATTGAACCAGGTATAAAAATAGCAGCTTATTTTCCTTGACGGCCTTAATAATATTTTTAAGTAGACTAAGGGACGAAAAGGAACCCAGCGATTTGCTGATGGTCATACCGGCCTGGTCCATTGCACCATGAGGGCACAGCACGAATGTGCTCGCGTCACATGCCAGTGATTCCGCTTGGATCGCTTGGTGCAATGAACGTAGCGGAAGCGGAATGGAAAATCTTGATGTGTCCTGTAAAAGATGGACAGTCACGAAGGGGGACATCGGTGGAAGAATGATTGTCGTCAGCGTGAATCTGGTCATATAAAAACAGACAAATGAGACATGGGAGTGATGGCAAATCAAGTTCGTCTGCAAGTTTGGGAATTGTACGCGCACATTTACATTCTGAATGTCACATTAATGCTCGAAAGTTGTCAGAAAGTTTGAATATGCACAAGCACAATGTGCCAAGTTCACATCAGCAATAATGTCCTCGTCATCTACAACTCCGTCATCCTCGACATTGTCATAGTCGTCAGCTTCCTTGGTTAATGGATTGGTTTTTTCGGGCCACTGCGCTTCGTGGTTGTTGTTGTCGATGTCCGACTCAGTGCTGTTATCATCTTTGGGATTGAAGCAATTGTTGACTGGGGATTTAATGAATAAAAACAAATCAAAATCAAACATAAAGCACGTACAAAATGAATTATAGTAGCTGAAAGCGCAAGAACCTTTAAACATCCCGCGCAAATGAAAATCAACTCTTGCTGCCGCGATTTTGTCCAGGTGCTGATTGGTGAGGAGCATCTGACTGAGAGCCTTGTGTTTGCTCGAGCATCGCCACAGTTTCTTTACTGCCTTGATATGCTTGGATTCGGTGATGGATGAACAAAGCCCGTTTGGGGCGCCAAACATTCGGACGAGAATCTCATAGTGAACAAGGGAGTGTTGTCGGGGCAGGGAGATGTCAAAGCGGACACCGATAGTCTGGAATATGGTGCGGTATCTATGGAAGTGCTTGAGGGCATCCCTGAGCTCTGTGAGAGTATCATCCGTGATGATGTTGGTGCAAACAATGTAGCAAAATTCCAGAAATGCTTGAAATGCTTGAACTACATCGTCTGGTACATGCCCTTCGATTGCTGGAAGATAGACCTAGTAAATAGTTGCATAAGTGTACACAAGATAATACAAGCATCGGGCTTACCTTCATTAATGCTTTCGAGTCGTCACCTGTCCATTGTGAGAACCTGTGCCCTTGTGGAAAACGCCATAGACCAGGGAATGAGGGTGCGACAGCAATTCTAGCGTGTTATCAGTTCTCACTGTAAGAAGATGGGAGAAAGTGGAATTACCTTTGGTCAATATCATCCATAATCTCTGCCGCGCCTGCTTTTCCATACTCACGTTCGAGATATTTACCCACCCATTCAACCAGGTGGTCCTTGAATGTGCCTTTGATCAGTTGATGCAGCAAGTCAGGAGCAAGCAGCTCGTGGATGTCGGCATGAGGGAAGTCATTTTTGAAGGGCTATGCAGTGCAATGGTTAGTGACACTTGGGGCTTCTTCGTCTTCAACCTCTTGAACAGAAGCACATCGTGAATGTGGCGCTTGACCGGAGCGAGTAAATGAATAGCTGTGCATCACACTTTGGTGGGATTTGAGCCCAGTGGTGTTTTTCAACCAGTGTTTGCACCCAGGGTATGGACACTGAATGCAATGGGCACTAAATGCCCATCATTTGAGCTGTTTTTGAGGGACGTCATGGTCTTCAGGCATGTTGAGCAGACCTGTGCAACTTGAGAGGACTAAAAAATAGCAAGTATTAGCAAACCTGTCATACTAAAGTGAATGGTAATATACTACATACACAGAACTGGTGCGAGCAACACGTAACTCTTTCAAAGTCCCTTCTCAACCTCCCTACCCTCAACGAAATTTTCACATCTACCAATGAAGCCTTTTACAAGAATGACACGGCCAAACACTCATCCTAAAAATGTGAATCAACATCCTGGTGAGATTGTTCTCAAAACAAAACAGAAAAGACGTACAGCTCGTCAAATCCAGGAAGACAACGACCACATTGAGCGCGAGCAGCAAGAATGGGAAGCTGCAGTCCAGCGTAATGCCGAGTGTATTGCTGCTATTGAGGACCAGAGGGCCTTGAACGACCTCAAGATCATTATGGATCCACCAAGGCCAAGGCCTCGGGCACGACCTGTGTTGAAGGCGAAGAAACCAGTTGGTATAGCTGAGGAGGAAGATGTTGAAATAATGGATACTGTAGACGAAGATGGCATTCAGCCAGTGGAGCACGATCCTGAAGAAGAACAGACTCACCATAATAATGCTGAGACTGACCACATTATGTCCAGTGATGAGGAACTTGCAGAGGTACAGCCAAGGAGGAAGTGTGTGCAGAAAATGGCACACCACGAAGCTGTCCAGGTTGCACACTTTGTTGATAATGCGGCTGGTATCAATCAAAAGAAGGATCAGTATACGAGAGATGTTGAGGCACGTGTTACATCAAAGGGTGACCAGAAAGGGAAGAAAGGAGTGAGTTATCATTGTTCCCAACTACCATGTTATTACTGACCGAAACAACTCTCTTTCACCTTGATATCCTTGATCAATTCAGTGTGGCTAATGTTGGTATGGAAAAGGACGACTACACAGGCATCAGCAAGACAAAGGATTGGGCTGAGAAACTCGCAACTAGCAAGTTACTCAGGCCTTCTGTTTCTGACAGCATTTGAATGCTGACACACACCCGTGTTTCCTCACTTGCCACTTCAGCTGCTGTGTCAAAGATCACACATGGGAGTTTGGCCAGCACCAATCTGGGTCCTCCTCCTACTCCAGCATGCAGCATCAAAGAGTCAGACTTATCACCACTGGACGACGATGATTCACTCGAGCGCGAGGCTGCTTACCAGGCCAGTAAGAAAATCCAGGCTGGTGACAGTGCTAGACGCACGACTTCAGTAAGTCCTATTTTTTTTTCCATTTACATCATGCTAACTTTTACCTCAGGATGTGGTTAAAGTCAGTAGCTTGTCATCTCCGCATACCTCACACCCAGTGTGTGCGCCATCCCAACAAATCGCAAGGACCAAATCATTGTCTTCTCCTCCCCCTTGTACTCAACCATCGAGGACAACTGCCAGGATTCCATGCCGCCCTGAGCTCATGTCGGATTTGTCTATGGAACTTTACAAGCCCGATGATACTGAGGAGGCTGAGGATGAAGCACCCTCTGCGCCTGTAGTGGGAAAAGGCATCAAACGCCTCACCACTTCAGTGAGTTGTCACTTTTTTCACTATACATAGTACCTGTTTGACTTTTTTGCAAAATTTAGACTGATGTTGGTATCAATAGCCATCATGCGCCTGCTTCAAAACGAGCGAAGACAGAATCACACACCACGAGTGTCACATCTCGCCGTGATGCCAGCGGCGCTAATAATTGGTACCAGAACGATGATCTTCCAGATGGCTGTCAGCACAACAATACCTGGTGTTGGGTATTCATACCCACAGTTGCGCACTGGGCTGGTGGAGATGTCGAGCCATGGGGCCCTGGTGACCATGAATTAAGGGACATCATGCAAAATATCTGGGACCATATATACAAGGGTAGGATTGAGCACGAAATCTCCAGTTCTGGCGCTGTTTTGAAAGTGGTAAGTCCATCTTTCTCATATTGTTCGAGTCTACTGAAATTTGAAGGCCAAACAACGCCTCATGGAATGGCGTGGAGGGTTTGGCATTGCCGCTTGTTCCATTCTTACAGCATTTTTTGCACAGGACACTGATTTCCTGGATCCAGAGGCTCCCAAGGAGTTTTTGCGAGCCATGCTGAAGCAAAACTGGTCTATATTCAGAGATAATGCTGGGCTCACTCCCAAGGTAAGTAGCATCATTCATTACTATTTAATATCAATTTTAATTATCTGTTCAAAGGCTTGGACAGGCATGTGGAGGGCCTCCTTTGTACTCCTGATCTTCATGTCCCACCTCAATTTTACCTACGGCCATGTTGGAATTCCCAATCTCGACACCGAAGCAATTGGTGCACAGGCTGCCTCTGCCCTTGTTGTCACTGCAGTGTGCCGTATCCTTCAGCTAGTCGTAGACGGGAATATCATCTTCAACATCATTTTAGAAACCTGTAGCAAATGCACCAAAGCTATGAAGATAGGCGATGGAGATATTTGGACACCCGTCATCAAAAAGGGCAAGCACTTTGCCTTTAGCAAACCTGTCTGGGGCCCCATGACACAGAAATTCATGCAGCCCATCATGGTGCTTCCTGACGAGGACTTCGCGAGCATAGTGCAAGAGGCACAGCAGTATGTGAAGCATCCAAGAAGTACTGGGAGCTCGAGGGCCACCAGTAATGTTGCGCCTGATGAGGATGATGAATTCGCTGACCTGTTTGCATTCCGTTAAAGGTAAGTTTCCTTTACTCTCACCTTTAATATGTGTTCATTCACAATGGGCATAGTATTCAATATCACATTTGCTTGTTTGGACTGGCTGCCACTATCTACCGCATTCCACACTCTTCGCCGCACATACTACTATTCACCCATTCATGATTGATCCTTCTTATTATGTCTATTGATGTCTTACTTTCATGGCTCATGCTTATACTGTAGCTTATTTGTCTTATTTTACTAAATTCAAGTGCCGTTAAGTTGCGTGTCATTGCAAGACCAGATACTTTGATTAAGTTGCTCATCTTAGCATAAGACTGTCTTATTTTGTCTTAGTTGTTAAAATAAGCTAGTTAAGTTAGATTAAGAGGCATGTAATTTTACTGATGCTGTCACACCCTTGGTTGCCCTCACTTGCACTCTTCTCACATATTAGCAATGGCATTGGAAGACTTGGCCATGGAGTGCTATATAGTTATTGAATGAATGTGCTCTATCACTTGGCTGCAATATATATGATCTTTGGTGGGGTCCTGCTATCACAGGCCCCTTGGGCGCCATTATGGCCTGAGGATATCATGTCACACCTTTGGTTGCCCTCACTTGCACTCTTCTCACATATTGACAATGGCATTGGAAGACTTGGCCATGGAGTGCTATATAATTAATGAATGAATGTGCTCTATCACTTGGCTGCAATATATATGACCTTTGGTATGGTTCTGCTATCACAGGCCCCTTTGGCGCCATTATGGCCTAAGGCTATCATGTCGGTTGCCTTGACCTGCAGTCTTTTCACATATTGGCAATAGTATTAGAGGACTTGACAATATCATACTACTTAGTTATATGCACCACTGGTGGCAGAATAGATGTATCAATTCCTTTAGCATAACATAAGTTCAGATACATCAACAATATTTTTACTCAGTCATTATAACTGATGGCTTAGTGTGTAGAACACGGTGTAGAGAATCATGCCTCTCATGGTGTGATATGGCGCTTTACACTAGGGAGTACATAGCACAAACTTGCAGCATCACTGTGTGCTATCCGCAGGTATTCCACTATGAGGTGCAGCTTTCCCGCGCAATGCGCGCCATGCGCGCACCATTCCCGTGCTTCATGATGTATACGCGCGCATGCGTTCCCGCGCTTGAGTGCCCTATAGTGCCAGCCATCCAGAAGCATCCATCCACTGTCCACCAAGCCCTCTAGTGCGTATATTTCTATTTCTCTCATTGCATATTGTTCCGTCTTTATTTTTATCATAGACTCTCACTCATATATATCTTTACATACCTACTCGGTAGCGCTTCGGCTCCGCATGACAGCACTTAGGCGCGCTATATAAGCGCCAGCAGTACATACTACTTTGGAGTACTTTTACTTTCCACTGAACTTCACTTGGGCACTAACTCATAAGTAACTACCCAGTTACTACTTAGTAGAACATAGTTGAAATCTAATTGTCTATACTTCACATCTCTCTTCTCTTGTCTTACATCATATCCTCACTTAAGCTTACTCTTTCTCATTTCTGCACGCATGTGCGTGCTTTCCCGTGCTTCGCACCAATACGCGCGCGTGTTCCCATGCCTTGCGTGCACCTGCACTTTCTTGCGCCTCGCTTCAGCGCGTACCTCTAGATCTTCGCTGCACTCACTTCCCCTTTAGGGTCGAATGCACTTGTCTCCTCAAGTAACGCAGACTAGGCAACGCACGACCTTACAACATTTTTTAGATACAGTCAGGAGCATTCATTTGTTCCTCTCAGTATTGTTGCTTCTACAATGGCACTACAGAGCCGACTGAAATTTTTCGCCGATGTATAACAATCTTACTCAGTGTGCTATGAAGCAACACATGAATGTATTACCAGTAGTGTAAAATAGCTAATAACATCAATCATTCACATCTAGGGGTGGAGGGCCCTCAATGGTGGGTACACTGCTGATATCCACTATGCCATTGTGCACCTCAGCAGCTACAATGGCGGAGACAATTTGCCAGAGTCGTCTAAAATTTTCTAGTATACCTTCCCAGAGTGTGGATTGACATGCAGCAGATCCTTCAATATAGGCCAACCTCACAAAATGACGAGCGCAGGATAGTCCTGACCACCACTCAATGGAAAGTAAGCTTTGGCAGAGGTAGGCGTCAAGGAGTGCCTGATGAGAATTGAGGTATGTGGGGGCATTCAGGAACAACAGAGCCCATTGTACATAGATGTAGGGGATGTATGATGCTGAATGCAGGCAAGGGGGTGTCTACATGTGCAGAACACAAGGAGAAAATGAGATGAGCAAAGACGAAAAAGGAAATGATCCTTGGACATACCTGAAGGTCGGACTACCTTGACAGGGTCGGTAAGTGGGAAGAATGAGTTGTGGGCATTGGACAATACCTTGAGATTCAAGACGGAGTTTGGTGAAGGAGGCAGGTATGGCTATTAGCCAGAATAAGCTTGCAGTGCTATGCAGATAGGTGAGAGGGTGTCTTGTCCTTGAAGGTCTTTCACTGCATCAGACACCTTAAAGAAGTAGGGGGCTACATGAGGTATTTGTCGGTGGTCAAGATGAAAACCAACGGAAGCCAGACTTGCAGAGAAATGATAGACATTGTTGGCTTCTGTCAAGATTGTTTTCTCGCTGTTCTGCATTAATGACTTGCGTTGGTGCTAGCAATTTTGGAGTAGATGAGAGTCGCTCACATTGATATTGACATGGTGTAGAAACAACAATACTGCGAGGCGCAAACGAGGCTCCTGACTGTATCTATAAATGTTGAAATGTCGCACGTTGCCTAGTCTGCTATACTTGAGAAGACAAGTGCGTTCGACCCTAAAGGGGAAGCAAGTGCAGCAATACAGAACATGGCTTCCAAACCAGTGTATGGTAGTATGCGAGGAAGGAGGTGCCAGTGGGGAGAGATAGCGATTCGAGCAGAGGCAGCAATTAGGGCTGAGGTGGAGGTGGAAGAGGCAGAGGCGAAGGCAGAGGCAGAGGCAGAGGCAGAGGCAGAGGCGAAGGCAGAGGCAGAGGCAGAGGCAGAGGCAGAGGCAGAGGCGAAGGCAGAGGCAGAGGCAGAGGCGAAGGCGAAAGCGAAGGCAGAGGCTTCATTGGGGTTCTGGAAGAAGGTAAAGGAATGGGTATGGTGCAGGAATCAAAAGAGAACATGTTGCGTGAGCGCAGGAATCAAAACGGAACACATTGAAGTTGCCCGGCAAGCGCAGGACTTGGGACAGAGCATGTCACTCGGCGAGTGCAGGAATCGAAACAGAGCGCGTCGTCCAAGCGCAGGAATCAAAACAGAACGTGTTGCTCGAGTGTAGGGTGACTATAGTTCACAGTGAGTACTAGGATGTCTCACATTTGACAAGGACTGACCAATCATCTTGAGAGTGTCGTCTTCGTAACTCTGCCTGCCAAAGTTTGTGCTGTCAGTCTTGTACCTGTGTATACTAGTGAAATTAGTGTAAAATGGAGTCACGCTATCTCGAAAGCATGATGATCTACATATTTGTTAACATAAAATGAGTCGAAGGTATCATATGAGTCGTGCGGACTAATTGTACAAGCAATAAAATTTGTGCTGTATACCGGAATGAGGTGGGCAGCGCAAAAAACACAATCAATATGAACAATTGATATGTCTGGAGTGCCATTGTCAGTTGTTCCAGGTGTGACAATATACATACCCGTGTCAGGATCACGGCTTTCGAGTATGTGAGAGTACCAGTGGACAACGGCACAAGGAAAGTATGATGTCCGGTATTGGAATGAGAAAAGGCACAACACCCGCGCAACTGAAAGTCCGCCCATGGGAGAGTCTGTATCAGCATCCATGTTAATGAAGACGCAATCATGCCTAGCAGGGCCTCCCCGCCATGATGGTGTTGACCGGATATACTCATGGCACATGCCTCCAGTGCCACTCAGATCACTAGGCACATAGAATGTTGCAGTGGCAGAATTAAAAAGTGTCACTTTCTCTAAGAATATTGGGGCTGTCATAGGATCAAAATGGGGAGGGTCGGGGTTCGTCGAATGGAGCTGGTCGTGGAGGAATTCTTGAATCATACCAGGGAAATGTGGAAGGTCGAGTTGAAGGCCTAGTGTCTCGATGTTCAGGACACATTCTAAGTATTGTGAGGAAGGGTTGAAGGACATGTGAACTGACTCACGGGGTGTCACTCCAAGTTCAATGTGAGATTCCGCAGTTGGTCCATCAAGAACTTCACCAGCATCTCCCTCGACAGATTGATTTTGAGGTTCATGAACTTGCAGGCGCCCAGGGAGACCTGCAAGTGTTGTGCCAGCCATTGCATCATCATCCGACTCACTATCTTCATCATTATTATGACCTGTTTTGGGGTGAGAAGTGCTGGATTGTTATCACAAATGATCATGCACATCTTTGAAGTTCTCGCAAAGCTTCTGAGAGGCAAGAACCACAAAGCATGCCGCATGCCTCAAAATCTGCATGGGCAGCTGCAACTTTGTCAAGGTGCTGGTTCGTTAGCAACATTTGACCCAGTGCCTTGAACCTGCTAGAGCAGCGCCAGGGTTCTTTTACTGCTTTTATGTGCTTAGACTCCGTTATGGAGGAACAAAGACCATTAGGTGCCCCAAAAAGTCGGATCATCGATACATTGTAGAGACTCATGCCTCTCATGGTGTGATATGGCAGTTTTCACCAAGGAGTATATAGCACCAACTTGCAGCACCACTCTGTGTGCAGTCCGCAGCTATCCCTATATGAGGCGCAGCTTTCCTGCGCAACGCGCGCATTCCCGCGCTTGAGCGCCCTATAGTGCCAGCCATCCAGAAGCATCCATCCACTGTCCACCAAGCTCCCTAGTGCGTATATTTCTGTTTCTCTCTTGTGCATATATATCTCTACATACCTACTTGGTAGCACTTCGGCTCCACATTACAGCGCTTAGGCGCGCTATATAAGCGCCAGCAGTACATACTACTCCTCACCTACTTTTTTACCACTGAACTTCACCTCCCACTTTACCTACTACTTACTAACCTAGAAAGTCGCAGTAGAAATCTATTCCTCTACACTTTGCATCTCTCTTCACTTATCTTGCACTATATTACCACTTAAGCTTACTCTTTCTCATTTCCGCACACACGCGCACGCTTTCCTGCGCTTCGCGCCAATATGCGCGCGTGTTCCTGCGCCTTGCTTCAGCGCGTTGTAGGGATTCATTTCTGGTTGGGCTTGTAGAGACTGTTTTTACCTTACCTTATGTTGGCACTTTTGTAGCTTACATAATCAATCAATCTTTTCACCAGTTACCAGTATGAGTCTGAGTGCTCAGTAGTTTTCTATGATATTTCCTCTCCTCTGAGCCTTGAGCCTGGTCCAGAAACCCTTTAGGGTCGAATAGCAGCTAGGTTCTGCAAGACCCAACATTGTTCAGACTCACCATCTGAATTGTTGTACCTTCAGCGTACCTCTAGATCTTCGCTGCACTCACTTCCCCTTTAGGGTCGAACGCACTTGTCTCCTCAAGTAATGCAGACTAGGCAACGCGCAACCTTACAAACATTTATAGATACAGTCAAGAGCATCATTTGTTCCTCACAGTATTGTTGTTTCTACAATGTAGTGACACATAGAATGTTGGCGGGGAAGGGAGAATGATGTGGTTACACCAGTCGTTTTGAAGATTTCCCGGTGTAGAAACAACAATACTGCTAGGAACAAAAGATGCTCCTAACTGTATCTAAAAATGTTGTAGGTCGAGTGTTGCCTAGTCTGCTATGCTTGAGGTGGCAAGCGCGTTCGACCCTTAAGGGAAGTGAGTGCAGCAAAGATCTAGAGGTACGCGCTGAAGCGAAGCGCGAGAAAGCGCAGGTGCGCGCAAGGTACGAAGGCATGGGAACGCATGCGCGGGAAAGCGTGCGCGCGTGCAGAAATGGTAGAGAGACTAAGCTTAAGTGATAATATAATGCAATATAAGAGAAGAGTGCGATATGTAAAGGAATAGAGTTCTATTGCGACTTTCTAGGTAGTAAGTACTAGGTAAAATGAGAGGTGAAAGTTCAGTAAAGTAATAGTATATACTGCTGGCACTTATATAGTGCACCTAAGCGCAGTCATGCGGAGCCGAAGCGCTGCCGAGTAGGTATGTAAATATATATATATGTGAGAGTCCATGATAAAAATAAAGATGGAATAATATGCAATGAGAGAAATAGAAATATATGCACTAGAGAACATGGTGGACAGTGGATGGATGCATCTGGATGGCTGGCGCTAAAGGGCGCGCAAGCGCGGGAAAGTGCGCGCGCGTATACATCGCGAAGCGCGGGAAGTTATGCGCGCATGGCGCGCGTTGCGCGGGAAAGCTGCGCCTCATATAGGAATCACTGTGGACAGTACACAGAGTGGTGCTGCGAGTTGGTGCTGTATACTCCCTAGTGGAAACTGCCATATCACGCCATGAGAGGCATGATTCTCTACACCGGTATTCGTGAAAGTGTTCCAAAACTTCTCGAGGTTGTACAAGGTCGTCTTCAGTGAGAGCCTCGCATCATACAAGATAACAAAAATCGAGGCACGCGCTAAAAGCACGTGTGATGTCTTCAGGGACATGATCCTTGATTGCAGGTATATAAACCTAAATATCACATAAGTTGACTCGCACACAGGTTTCAAAATAAATTATGCAGCGCACCTTCATTAACGCCTTGGAGTCGTCACCAGTCCACTGCTTGAATCCGCGTCCGTCTGGAAAGTGTTGTAACCCAGCGAATGGGGCGACCACTGCTATCATTTAGTATTATGAGTATTAGTTGTCAAATGTTCCGTGGTTTGCGTACCTTCGATCAATATCATCCATAATTTCAGCTGCAAGGTGAGCACCATGTGTGGCCGTCAAATAGTCTTCCACCCAATCAACTAAGTGGTCCTTAAAAGTCCCCTTGATGATCTGGTGCAAAATATCTGGGGAGAGAAGCTCATGGATATCTGCACGAGGGAAATCATTGGTGAACGGCTAGTAGAGGGTTGATATATGTAAGTCCTGGCAAGTTTTTACAATAGGCAACTTACAACGAGATCGCTGATGATACCATACTCGGACCACAGCTGTTTATGTGTCAGTCGGTCAATGAGCAGCTCCATGTGTTCTTCGCGCCTATGCAGACAAGGCTGACCACGGTCAAGGTCCTTGCTATCTGCCAGACACCTGTGAAGCACATATGTAAACAAATACAAATAAAACAAATTTTGTCGTACCGTGGACACCATCGCTGCACAACACCAGATAGCATCAACTGCTCAGGGTAATCAGCGATGTATGGGCCAATACCATAAATTGTTCATCGAAAGTGACCGTCCAGAAAGCATGTGACATCAGGAGTTTCCATGAACATTTTCACAGATTCGAAAATTTTTGCCAGGGACCGCTGAAAGAGTTGTTGATGGAAGTTCCTATAATGAACACAATTATTATGCTCCTTTGTGCCTAAATAAACAACATGAGTTTACAACAAGAGACATTTAAGTGTGGGTCCTTACTTTTTGGTATAGCAAGGAACCCAACAAGTACGACACCGTTGCGATGCGTACGTCGCACACTATTGAAAATGTTACCAATCAATAGGTAGAGTGGGTGATACTCGGTGTGTCCAGTAGCGACTGAGACAATTGTCTTGTTGCTTCCCATAATCAACGGCACGAATGTTGAACCATGGGTCTCCTGATTTTGAGCAATTAGATCCTAAATGTGATTCTCAGCACGCTGCAACTTGAATTCTGGCTTGAAAACACTCACCACTTGATTCCATGCCCAATCACCTGACATAAGGTTCTTCCAGTACCGTTTGTTGTCAGTGGTGTAGTCACGGTAGGGCGAAAATTCAATTTCCCCATTGAAGTCGGGATTTGCGAGCATGTTGCGCACAAGTTCCAGTGGGTCTCTATACCACACATTGTATTGCGCGGTCATCCACGGCGGTACATTATCTTGTGGTTTGATGCCGTTGTAGGACATTGCGAAGCTCTGCCAGGGGATATCGCCTAGCAGGGTCGCATCAATGGTTGCAAACATGTCCTTGTGGTTGGCGAAAGGGGGAGCATTATTATGCTTGATGAGAGTTGCAGCCCATAAGTCGAGCAGCATGTCGATTTGCTTTGCAGACATTTGGTTCCACATAAAGAGGAATTCTGCTGTCTCAAATTCAACTCTGTTTTGATAAGGCGTCCAGTCAGTTGATGGGGCATTCATACGAGGTGAGGGAGGTGCATCTTGATCAATAAATGTACCATCAGTGTCGCATTTGAGCCCTGAGTTGCAAAGAAAACAGTTCAATTAGATAGAGCGAAAGGACTCAACAAAAGACACCTACCTGTGAGATGCGGATGGAACACACGGAACAAGTTTCCCATGTCCACCCAAGTACCTTCTTCAGGCACAAATCCTGGATTCTCCTGCTCGTCCTCTGCACCTGGAATGGGAGATTGTGCCCTTGGAGATATAAAGCCAGGACCTGGGACAGTTCAGTTGATCTGCTGGGGTAGCAGATGCTTCGTGTGCTTGTGCTTCATCAGACCAGACTTATTTTTGAAGACGCGATTGCAGCCTGGAACCTGACAAACAAGTTTGATCATCCCTGGGGCCATGTTGGGCAGCAAATAGGTAGCGCGAGGGACTAGGAACTAAGGCAGATGTTGAAATGGAACTAAAGTGTGTGAATTACATGTTCAAATAAAAAGCCTCACCTGGATCGATTTCATCTCTTTCTCTACCATCTCATATTCGTCATTCGCCCATGTCAACACTTGCCTCCATTTACATGCCTTGACCTGGGACATGCCCCAGTAATGCCAGCAAGCATCCAGGACAAATTGTCCTTGATGCAAATCAAACACAATGTCCAAGGGAAGTGGTTGCAGCTGAAAAAAGTCAGAAAGCAGCAGGGAAAGCAGCTAAGGCTGCTGCCTTGGAGGATACTCACAGGCAAATTGCTGCGAAGGAAGACATCATGGCCATCGAGCAGAGTGCTCAGCTCGCTGGCCTTGGTCGGCTCATTAGACCGATGTAGAAGAGGAATCTTGACTATAGGTGAAAACACTTAAAACAAATGGGTGCTCTACAGCAAGACCAGGATACGAGACAACGACTCGACCCAAAGGACAACCACTGAGAGAAGTTCCTTGAAATAAAAATGGAGGGAGACTGTATGAGCTAGGCGGGCGCTAGCAAGCGCGAGAAGGTAACACGCGCAAAGGCGGGCGAGATGCGCGCGTGAGCGGGAGGTTCGAGAATGCGCACACGCCTAGAATGTTAAGGGAAAGATCCTATTTGAAGAGTGGATGCACAGATGGATGGTTGACAGGAGAATCAGATCAGATATCAAGTGAGGAGGTGATCTATACACTTTCCAGTACACAAAGATAAGGGGAAAGTAAGTACCAGAACCCAAAGATTCCCTTCTCTATTTAAGAATGGAGATTACACTATGCGGCGCACTTCCGAGCGCGCTCCTGAACCGAGTAACCATATCAACTCTAATTATAGCTAAGTTTAAATAGACTTTCTATATGTAGCGCGGATTTCAGACCGATGATTTGTTAGTTCAATGAAGGAGATAGGAATAACGCACCAGCAAATCAGTAAGGACATGGGACGAATGGACGGACAATAGCACGAAGACCTAGGAGGAGGCACATGAATGCGTGCGCGAGTGCGCGCGAGACTGGTCCTTTGGATTAGAGCTGGATCATATAGGAATGTATGGATAAAGGCCGGATACTCAGCATTGAGACGCGCGAGTCTCTACACCGAAACCTTGCCCATTAGCAAAAAAGACCACTAAAACGACCCTGGACACAGAGAATGCTGTGTACACTAGTATGACGCTAGGCCCTAAAGCATGTAAGCAAGCATTATACAATACAAAATACTATTGCAAGGACTTACCATTTGGATTTGTACAGCTGATGGTGCAGGAGCAACTCAAACTGTGAACGTGGAGAAGAGGAAGAGTCAAGATCCAAGGCCCATCAAATTTAAGGACAGTGTCAATGTTAATAGAAAGGTTTCTAACACCGGTGTAGAAACAACAATACAGAGAGGAACAAATGATGCTCCAGACTGTATCTATAAATGTTGAAGGTCGTGTGTTTGCCTAGTCTGCTATGCTTGAGATGACAAGCGTGTTCGACCCTAAAGGGGAAGTGAGTGCAGCAAGGATCTAGAGGTGTGCGCCAAAGCGAAGCGTGAGAAAGCGCAGGTGCATGCAAGGCGCAGGAATGCGCGCGTGTATTGCACAAAGCACGGGAAAGCGCGTGCGCATATGTGGAAATAAGAGATTAAACTTAAGTGATGATATGATACAAGGTAAGAGAAGAGTGATCCGAAGTGTAAACAAATAGATCTCTACTATGTTCTGCTAACTAGTAAGTGACTGGTAGGAAAAGTAAGTCGTAAAAAATGGAAAGTTAGTTGAAAAAGTAAGTAATAGTATGTACTGCTGGCGCTTATATAGCGCGCCTAAGCGCGGTCATGTGGAGCCGAAGCGCTACCAAGTGTCATATCCCATATATTCATACTTCTCTTCCGGACTTCGGACCCTGAGATCCGATCCGGTCCGATGTATAGATCCGCTTCCGATCCGATTTACGATAAGCTTTCTAATTCATTTCCTGTTCATATAACGTTAAACACAGCCTATTCGGTATTTCCTCTTCCCGGTGTTTCGGTTATACAGTGGCTCAAAAAAGTGTCCCAATGTTTGTAGGTTTTCATGTAATTGTGTTATTGCGAGCCAGGGTGTGAGAATCTGACTAAGTCAAAGGGAGGTCCCAAAAAGCTCCGCTTCTCAGCTACAATTATGTCCCCTATAGCGTGAAAATACATTGACGCCGTGCGAAGATATGGCTATTTTAATTAGGTGACTCATTGGGACACTTTTTTGAGTTTGAATCAATTATACATAATCTCTATAATTCTAGTACTTAGTGTTTCCTCCCTTAGCTTTAATGACTGCTGCTACCCTCCTAGGCATACTTTCTATCAATTTCTGACACTCCTCCTTAGCAATCTTTCCCCACTCTACTACAACTCTCTCCCATAACTGAAATAGTCCATTAGGTGGGTCTTGATAGGCAGCAAGCATTCTCTTGAGTAATTCCCAAAGATGTTCAATGGGATTGAGGTCTGGAGACTGTGCTGGCCATGATAGGACAGTAATATCATGGTCCTCAAACCATTTGGTGGCCAACTTTGAGGTATGCTTGGGGTCATTATCTTGTTGGAAGATAATGTCTTCTTCATCAATACCTGATTCTTGCATGCTTTTGAGCAGACACTCCTCCAGAATGGAGACATACTGCTCTGCATTCATCCTCCCCTCCACCTCACATAGAATTCCCACCCCATGCCACCCCATGCAGCCCCACACCATCATATTTCCTCCTCCAAACTTAAGAGTACCTTTTACTTTTTTTTCTCCAAGTGGATCTCCTGCCTTTTTCCAAACATACTCTTGACCATCTGACCCCATCCTATTGATTTTAGTTTCATCTGACCAAATAACTCTCTTCCAGTCCTCTATAGTCCAGTGCTGGTGCTTTAAAGCAAATGCTAGTCTCCTTTTCCTATGGGCTGGTGACAGTAGGGGTTTCTTCTTCTTGACTACAGCTTTAAGATTGGCTTCCTTTAGGGTGTTCCTGACTGTTTGAGTGGAGACAGTGGTAGTGATGATGGAATTGATGTATTTTGTGGCTTGAACAGCAGTAGAGGCCTTTCCAGATATAATATGATGAACAAGAGCTCTTTTGTCATGCAGAGTAAGTTTAGAAGGACGACCCATTTTGACATTTTCTTTGTTGGGAATATTTTGGTTGATAACCCTGGCAATAGTTGACTTCCCCAGACCAGTTTTGGAGGCAATCTGCCTGATAGATAGACCAGAGGTGGAGAGAAAAAGGATATTATCTCTTTGAGAAGAGGAAATAGACTTCATGCTGATTATGAGGGACATGATGTTATTGGAAGGGTTTATATATGTACAGGATACTAAAATGAGACCATATTGTCAATATGGGACCATTTATATATATATTTGTAAATGGTGTCATGTCTAAATGATCTGATTTTCATATTTTAATAGAAACTCAAAAAAGTGTCCCAATGAGTCACCTAATTAAAATAGCCATATCTTCGCACGGCGTCAATGTATTCTCACGCTATAGGGGACATAATTGTAGCCGAGAAGCGGAGCTTTTTGGGACCTCCCTTTGACTTAGTCAGATTCTCACACCCTGGCTCGCAATAACACAATTACATGAAAACCTACAAACATTGGGACACTTTTTTGAGCCACTGTACTTCTTACCGGTATGCTTACTGATCCGTTAACCTATGTCTCATTTCCGACTCGCGTTTGATAACCTTTGCACATGCTTCGTACATAGCCTCGGACCTTTGCTTACTGATACTTCTGTTATCCTCATAGTATATAAACTCGTGTATATGTCCTGTAGTACCTCAGTTCGAATATCATCTTAGTTTGTCCTCTTTCTGTCCTCCGGACTTGAGTCCTTCTTACTCTTGTCACCCTCCAAGACTTCGGATAGATTCTGATAGTCTATATCCTCGGCTCTACCTTCGGATAGTCTTTACTCTGTTAGTTTCTAGTTCGGATACGTCTGGATTAGCCTTATACGTGTTTCCGATATCCGGAAGACATCCGGATATACTACAAGACCCATCCGGACCTTCGGACGCATTATCGTTAGTACTTTGAAATAAGGGACAGTACTTGGGAAAGGGGCACAGCGTAAGAGCTGAGGCCGAAGTCCTTCGTATCCGACCCTATGAGAGTACGACCTTAACACCGAGTAGGTATGTAAGATATATATGGGTGAGAGTCCATGATAAAAATAAAGATGGAACAATATGCAGATGAGAGAAATAGAAATATACGCACTAGAGAACATGGTGGACAGTGGATGGATGCATCTGGATGGCTGGTGCTATAGGGCGCTCAAGCGCAGGAACGCGCGCGCGAGTATACATCGCGAAGCGTGGGAATGGTGCGCGCATGGCGCGCGTTGCACGGGAAAGTTGTGCCTCGTATAGGGATAGCTGCGGGTAGCGCACAGAGTGACACTACAAGTTCGTGCTATGTACTCCTTGGTGGAAACTGCCATATCATGCCATGAGAGGCATGATTCTCTACACCGGCATATCCACCTTAAGTCAGACACGTGTGGGAAGCATTGCTGGGAAAATCAAAGAATCAGCATAAGTTTTCCTATTTCGAACAAAAAAGTTGCTTCCATCAGAACTCACCTTGCTTTGTTCGCTAACCCAAAGCATAACCGAACCTTCAGAGGAGACAATAGTGAGGAAGCAGGTGAAGATTGTTCCATCCAAGTCCCGGTCGCAGCCCTCAATGCCGCAAAGCACACAAAGCGCAGGTATGGATTAACTCGTGTTTACGAGCGAGGCTAATAGTAGTATTGTTAGTGGTCTCGGACAATGAACTGGAGTGGGAAGAGGATGTTGATGTACCTGAGGAATTTGATGATCAGATTATCAGAGATCGGGCTAGGGCGGCAGTGAGTAGATTCGCACCTTCTAGGACATACTAGAATAAAGGCAGGGAGTTGTGCACATATTACAGACTGTTAAAGATGCTCACAAGGGGAAAAAGCGCACCTTTTTCGACTTTTTGGACGAAGAACAGGAGGGTGATGTACCCGGGAGGCGATCCGAGTCGTTGGACAAAGAAGAAGCCGAAGTTGAAGATGATCCAGATGCTGACTATGAGAGTTCTGAAGTCGAGGATGTAGTTAACATAGATGATGATGTGGAGATGATCAATCGGCAGCTGCCTGAGGTCAACACCAAGGTAACGAGGATTTGGTCAAGTACTAGTAAATTAAACTGATCACTAATCTAGGTCAACAAAGCAGCGAAAACTCAGCTCACAACTTCTGTATGGGTCAAAACTGACTGACATAACCGCAAGAGAGCTGACAAATTTCTGCAACAGATGTCAGTTGATATCACGGAGTTGGATGAGAAGCCCATCAAAACCGAAAGCGCTCATCACACGTCCACATCAGCCACTACCCGAGGAAAGTCGATCAACCCCAAGAAAGTCAAACCCAGGAATGCCCACTTGCCTAGTGATGCTCAGAACTCGCTGAAATGGTGTTCTAAATTTCTTCCAGCAGTTATGTACTGGGTCGGAAATTCTAACTATCCTTGGACCATCCCAGACGAAAAACTTTCAGATGTCTGTCATGACATTTTTCATGAGGTGTTCAATGGTGCACCTGGGGAGTTCAAGGTTGACAGCTACAGTAGTGGGTTCCACATGGTGAGTAACGCATCCTTTTGTATTCAAATCAGTAAATTACACTTCGGCAGGTCTGTCAAAGGATTTCAGAGTGGAGGGGATTCTTCGGCTCCACTGCCGTCAATGTCCTGATGACATTTTTCACTTTGAATGATAACCTCAAGACTCCCGATGCACAAAAGGAATATGCTGGAGATCAGCTTGTGGACTCGCGCTTCGTGTATGAAGATCCAGACAATGAGGACTTACCTGGAGCCTTTCTGTCTGAATTCATCTTGCATGTTTTCGCCGCCCACCTCAACGCTATCTATGGGTACGAGAAGATAGATTCAATTGAACATGGCTTACCTGGGCACCAAACTTTGCTTGCACTGGCAACTGCAGCTGTAAGTTTTTTGCTACTTTGCAAGACTTCATCACTTCTCATTTGCAGGCTGAGCATGCACTTATTTTGGCTCGTGACAACCTTATACTACTGGACAATGCTTCGGACAACGGCAAGAAAAATTACAAGATTGCATTGACGCTTAATCAAACCACAAACAAGATGAGTAATACTGGCACCGCATTTTCATCAGGCAACTGGGAGACAGACACCATTGCTTACATGGAGTTTATTGATGGATTGTCTTCTGTGCGCATCAGCGAGATTGTTGCATGAGCTCAGCCATACACGAAGCGCCTGCGCCGCACTGGCATTGGTCGAAATGATGATGACACTCAAGCCCTCGTGAATCCGCGCTCCCTTATCCGCATCTGTAATATTTTATCTCTCTCTTACTTTCTCAATCTGACGCCTTGATATCCTACAGAACTCATATGCTCACCTCCCTACCTTCAGTCTTGTCTGTTTGCATGACCACCATTTGCCCTACATGTTTGTTTCAACATTTTGGACCCACTTATATCATTTCTTACTTATTATCCTTCGAATACCTTTGACTCGTTGACCTCCTTATTTTCTCCTTAGCCTACTTTTGAGTTTCTTATTGCACGTCTCAAATCAAATAATAGTATGCTTTCTGACTTATCTGCCTTAAAAATAACGACCTCCTTATTCTAAGGGGGTTCTAAGGAGATATTTAAGGAGATGGACCTCCTTATGTTCCTTATTTTAAGTTGTGACGAGCTTTCTTAAATCTTCTTATCGTTCAAATTAAGGCAGATAAATCAGGATAAGGAGATATTTAAGGAGATGGACCTCTTTATGTTCCTTATTTTAAATTGTGACGAGCTTTCTTAAATCTTCTTATTGTTCAAATTAAGGCAGATAAGTCAGGATAAGGAGACATTAAGGAACCTGGTGATTTGCTGATGACTGTGCTTTCATCAATATTGATGACGAGCAGGATGGCATGCTCAGCATGGATGTTGTTCGGATTTTTTGCTTTTTATCTTTCACTTTTACTAATGGTCACACGTATCCATGTGCCCTCGTTCAATGGTTTCGTTGGATTACGGAGGAGCAAGACGAGCTCACAGGCATGTGGATGGTGGTGCCATCTCTCAATGAGGACAGCTCTCGTGACTTGTCGATTATCCATATTGACAGCATCATCTGCGGTGCTCACCTACTCCCAATATTCAGTACTCAGATCGTGCCTCTGGGCCTTCAATTTCATGATTCTCTAGATGCCTACCGAGGATTCTATGTCAATCATTTTATTGACCATCATGCTTTCGAGCTGGTGTCTTAATGTATTTCTTACTACTCACAGATTTGAATTTAACATTGTCTTGAAATCACTTTTCGGCTCTTAAGTTATCTGACTGTCTTAGTTAACTTGGAGCTAAGACACTCAAGTCATGTTCCAAGTCAAAACGAGAACTTACGAGACCTTGGATGTCTTAGTGGACTTTGGCATCAAATCAAGTAGAATAAGTTCCGAATAAGTTGGTTTAAGAGGCATGTAATTTTACTGATGCATGATAGCCTCAGGCCATAATGGCACCCAAGGGGCCTGTAGTAGCAGAACTATACCAATTGTCATATATATTGGAACCGGATGATAGAAAGTAGCTATTTAATAACTATGTAATATAACATGGTCAATGATTAACAAGGTTGATCCTGAAGTGACTTTGTTGTGGTGTCTTATCAAATGTGACTGGACATACCGGAGTCCCGGCGATTTCCTGATGTAACTAGTAGTACTGTGTAGGAACATACTACTGAGTGGTCTGCGTGGAGGAGAAATTTGGTTAGGGATCTGTTGTGTTATTCAATTATTTAACATATTTCCGCTGTATTCTACTGCACATGGTACATGTGATACCATACTTGGATAGTTTACTGTGAATTGCTTTTGCAGACATTTTCTTCGAACGGAGTCGCTCAAGAACACGTTTGTACAACGAGTAAGTATCAGAACAACATAATGCAAGACTAATGAAAATTTGAGTGTAATACATCAAGGGAGTCATGAATAAGGAAGTCATAGCAAGTTATTGGGACGACGAAATTGAGCTCATGAGTTGAGTGTCATAGAAGCCCAGCTTGACACCTCGAGTGACGGTGATAGAGGAAGAGTCAACACTTAGTTCAGGTCTAATTACGTGCTATGCTATAACGCGATATTTTAGTGAATGACGACGACCGTAGTCTAAACCACAAACCTCGGAGCACGACTGGAAGAAGACGAGGCATTACGTGCTCGCATGCTCCTGATGATTATGGGCGCGTGACATTGCGAGGGAGCTACAAGCTTCCCCCAGTTGCCGGCGCAGAACATGTGATTGACCGCTAAAAGCTTTGCATATGTCATCCTCCAGCCGGCAAGTGATCAGGAATCGGAGGTTTCTGGGAAGCTCGGCCCCTTTCTCCACGAGGACACTCAATACTTCCTTCCTTGTGGCTTCATTCCCTCCCACCTCCAGACCGTCAATGATGACCAGATATGGACCGTTCCAAACGACATCCCTAGAGGGAGCGAGGATAAATTCCTCAAACTGCGTCTTCGCCACCCGTGTCTTGCGTAAACTCGTATCATTTCCCACGGCCCTCCAGAGATTCTGCTTGAACTGAACATTACGATCTGCCAGATCACGGGCGATTGTTGAGAACAGGTTTGTGTAACTCCGGGTGTCGTTGTACCTGGTACCTCGAAAGCAATATGAAGAACCAAGGCGTGACGCGAACTGAAATCGTTTTCCAACCAGTAGCGCGATGGCGCTGCACGACTCTACAGGTCCAGACAGGACGCAGATCCTCTCTGATTCCTTGCTGTCCCCGATAACCCAGCTCTGTAGGGATGTTATGAGGTCAGCCGGGGGCGCCGCATGGTTCGCCGGTAGATGAACGGCACATGATGCAGCACATCTAGCATCTGTGGCGTAATGCATATCGCGAAAATCTGCCTTTGCACCTATTTGAAACGGCATGAAGATAGAAGCGGGGAAATGATAGGATGACTTACCAAGATCTTGAACATCTTCTAAGATTTTGAGCACAGTGAGCTGTGTGGAGACGGCCATATAGTTCTGAAAACTGTGTTGAAGGTCTTTGAATGCGTTTTCAAATTCTTTGATCTGAGATTCCACGTTCAGTACTGAATTCCTGATCACTTGCACAACTTTTATGGATGGCGTCCGACATCAGCTAGAACTCTACCACACCTGGAAGACTCACAGCTGTCTCGAGTATCCATATAATCGCGGATGAAGAACGCGCATTCGATTGTTTGCTGCACGATAGCTTTGAGAACGTTTTTTTGTTTATGCAGGTATGGGAGGGCATCGACGGTCATGACAAGATCGTAAGTTTCTTGCATAGTATGCATCAGCCGAATCACGCCGTTTTCGCAGGCGATCTTTTGCCTGATGACCTAATAGCGATGATTTTAATATTTATACTGCCACATAGGTATGAAAATGGTGCGCCCAAACCTCGTATCCTGTTGCCAGTATCGAAAATGCAATATTTGCGTAGGGGTGAAGCTAAAGAAATGAGTCAAGCTAGTTCTTCTGAGTGCGTGTTAGGAGAAAGGCGTGCCATACCTTAGCCAGTCTTTCAGCCACCGAGACAAAGATACCGATCTTTACCAGGAGGGGGTAAAGGTGTTCATCGCCGCCATTGTCTTTGCTAGCCCGAGAAATTGCATCTTCGATGATTCTCTTATCTTGATCGTAGTCTCTTGGTTGGCTGGGTTGGACGTTGAGATCCGCAGTACGGTTAACGGCAGCAGAAAGCTCCTGCGTGAAAGAACCCAAGGACCTTGTGAGTGACATAGAGCCTGTAGATGACGTAGCACCAGCTTGTGCTGCTCTGAAAGACAAAGTGGGAATTCCATCTATGTGCACGAACGCTGCAGATGATAGAAACGGACGTCTGATCACTGTTGGCGCGTTCATCGTTAATGCATACATCATCAGAAAACAATACTGACAGCTGTTTTGCTGCAGAAGTTCATCGACTTCGAAAATAGCAATGCCGATAGGAATTGGTTCGCTTTCTTTTCCGTCATAGCCGAGAACACGAAACACAAGTCGTGATGTTTGAGAAACGTTACTGAGACCTAAATTATCATATTGTGCAACGATACGACATGGGGGGGACTTACAACGTGAATGTTGTATCCCACATTAAGCACTTCACCCCCTGTTGTCCTTGAGATATGATGTTATGAGACTCTTCGTTATTCGTCGCGTGAATTTCGAGGAAGAATCGATCATCCCAAGACAGCTTTCCGAATTTAGGAACGCGGTCGATATCCAGGATAACGACTTTCAATGGACCGTTAGCAACAGTGGAAATCATAGTATCAACCGAGATCTACCGGAAATGTCCAATGCATCGGTCTCCTTTGTGTCCAGTTTGTTATGTTTCTCCACCACCGGATCGGCAGCTTTCTCAGCGGTAGACACACCTGAAGTCTGAGAGACCTTGAATTCTGCCTGAATTTTTGTGCCCATGGACTCGAGAGTCTTGTGAACAACTGCGGAAGGTGTGAGTAGGCTACACAGAGACTCATAGATAACCTACCACCGTTGGGTGCAGCGAGCCATTCTTTCACGGAACCTTCCACCGCAGCTATCGGCTTGTTTTTGTGTAGCCAACGTGTCGCAAAAATTTGCAGTGAAGCATGCGAGTTCAGTTGGAATGGACTATCGAGAATGCGTCAAACAGATGCATATGTGCAGCATCAATCAACCTACAAATCATATCCGTCTGTCCATCTGGAGCGTCCTTGATGACTGGGCTTTGAGGGACACTCCCAGATAGTGCCATCTATAGCCACTTGAACACGGAATGTGTTGTGATGAACGGAGGGCAAATCTTGCAGGTCGATGTCTGTAGGAATGATTTGAGAAACAGCGCTCAATAGAGGATGCTTGACTGCTCACAAGAGATGGATAACTTGTTGATGGTCGAAGATTGGATGGGAGAAATCCTAAAGTGAATTCCGATTTCTTGGCCTCCTGATCCATACAAGTCGACAGTCCGCGTGATGGCTAAGGATGCGTTATATGTGCTGAAGGGGAAATATCAAACCTTACTTACGACCTGAACACTCCAAGAGCTTTCCGACGGTGTCCTCGAAGCTACCAATCCGCCGGGAGTGTCGGATATCACAGGCATCGACGCTGAATGTGACTTTGGAAGACTCGTCAACTTTGCTTGTTGAGAGTCCCGCGCACGGTTAATTTCCACAGTAATCCCACTTATTGATAACATAACTCACAAGCGATGTGTCTTGTTCCACTTGTAAGATCGTAGTGCCCAGCCCGTTGTCTGCAACTGGTTGCAAACACCGATACGCACGCAGAAGAAGTCGTCCAACGAACTTCTCCCGACTTTGGGTAGGTTTCCACGCAAAGATATATCTGTACAGTGGTGAACCTTTCGAGCCGACAGCTATCGTATACGCAGAAATGCGAACCAGATATCTCTATCTCAAGAACATTCGAGTGCGATCGGCTAGCGGGCACCAACCAGTTATTCAATATCGCAATTTAAAGTATAAAGATAAAACTTGCCCCTCACTACGGTCGAGATGCCTGGGGACTGCGTGAGTAAACCGTATGTGATTCATCAGTGGAAAATTGTAACGTACGATGAACTTGAATACGCGTCATCATAGGTGTTCATCATTTTTAACAGTGCGATCGTGACCTGTTTTCAGTTTCAGTTTCAATCAACTAGTCCATCTTGTGGCGAGATATCATACCTTGAGTATAAAGCGGATGTAACAACAGGAGTCAGAGCTGAATGGTGTTGCAGGAAACTAGATGTTAAATCAGCGCTGGTATATGTACCAGTGTCTTATCCTGACCTTTCTCTACTTCTCTTCGAATAGATCTGGCAGAAGCTCCATAAATTGGTCAGTCAGCTGGACACATGCAATGCTCGCAGAAGCAATACCTATCGGTAGCCATGTTATCCGAGATATCGATTCGGCGTTCGATGAATGTGGAGTTGGTAGTACTATGATGATAACTTCACCCGGTGGTCCAAACATAGACTGGAACGAGGATGAACACCTAGCCTGGCAACATTAGCACGTCATACAATATTAAGTTAGGCGCTAGATGACGGCTGCCCTTGCCCGAGGCCCAGGGTTAAAGACGTCTGATACGGCTTCTAAGTAGCGCCTGGAAGTTGTGACAAGCGCCACTTTGACCAATCAACTGATTGTCTCGGCACCAGCCGCAGGTTCCGCGGGTTGTTCCGGTTTCGTCCTTCGGCGCTTGAAGACACTCGCACCAATAGGCTCTTTCTTCATCAGCATCCCCTAGTAAACTGACACTTTCCGATCGCACCCTCACATCAAGGGACAGTTATGAATCTCCGCACTTCACGCGGAAACTGTTGCGGTCGTAATTTATTCTCAAGTAAGGCATAATGAAAACCCCATGAAACTCACTATGTAGGTTGCCTCATGGATCAGAAAGTACAGACTGGCGTGATTCACTTCTTTGTACGCCCGAACAATCAAGGCGTGTGTGCGAGTGTCAAAGCGAGGCCGCATCGATTTCAATGTGAATGTCCGATGACTGACTATTAGGCGCATTGCGGGACTTCTGACGGTCAACTATCGATGCATCATACGAAGTTCTGGTTGTTGTATAAAATATGTTATCTGGATTGCGTTTTAGTATATTACGATTATAACACGTTGTGCTGGCATTGTACCTTGCAATGGCATAACCTAATGAAGATGCAACGCACGACAGGGAGTACATTTCGAATATCCATGATTGAATACCCCTAGCGGCGCAAAATCTTGAGGCGCCCTATATTAGCCAGTGGTTCACAATCACAAACGCAGAACAGCATTACATAGATATTCCAGAACTCCACGCCTCATGCAGTGATTCTACCAGCATGTCTCAAAACCAGTGCTTCTTCACCTTCTTCTAGACGCCATGTAATGCGCAAGCAAAGGCGCCCAAGTGATATATCTTGCCTCATGGAAGAAGCTGATGGCCTGCGGAATATTATCGATTGCTTTCGCAGGCCCCACCTCGAGGATCGGAGGGAAATTAATTCTGGAAATCCACAAAGTCGTGAACATGAGTCTCTCAGCCAAAGCCCTTCATCGACGGATCAAGATCTTTGAATGGTGGTATCGAAAGTAGATACGTCATCGAAAGACTTCAGCCTAGTATACCCCATACAGAAGGATTGAAGTTTGAAATCAGAGAAATTGTAGCAGAGATCATGCGGATACGTTGTCCAGTTTGGCACGTGTCCTGTTGGTCCGGCACCACAGCATGTCCTATCTTGATAAAGATTATGAAGTGGTTCCCGTACATTCCTGCGGCTCACGGGTCACAGCCTAAGAGCGTAGATCTATAAGGTTCAATATGCCTCCACCGGCTACACCATGCAGCCTTTCAGAAATGAATTGGTTTCAGGGAACAAGAGAAGACTTACCACCAGTCGACCGAATTTTCAGCCCTTATTGAAGATGATCGATGAGGTCTTGAGGCCTCAAACCATGTAGTAGTCAAAATCGGACTGTATTTGATCGAAACCACATCCTTCTGTGAGATGATACGCAAAGTTGACAAGAGCGCCGAGCGGCTGCGATACTCGAGACCAACGCACCGCCTGGATCACGATTCCAGTTTCCAAATACTAAGGGAAGCTCAGCATTCTTAAGTTGCTGCCGAAATAATATTGTTGCATAGTAAGCGCTGAGCGTCGCTCGAGCCTGCTCAGTGAAGCTAGTGAAGGTTCTCCATCATCGGAGTGATAATACGGTAGCCTCAGTTCCACAATTGTTTGTTCGTGTTGACTATACAGCTCTCTACGCCACCGTATCTCGTTGAAAATCACCACGAGTTAAACACACCCTGTCTATGGAATATCATTCATATTTTAATACGTACACACAGACTTGCGCCTGTGACGTGTGCCTACACCAGTCAAACGACTCGGCAGTGCACATACATTCTCATACCTCGAATGTCCCCGTATCATGGCTCGTCAGTCCGTATAGCACGTTGGCTTATGCGACTGCACCTCTCAATCACTGTCAGGAGCCGCTCATGAATACGTCCAACCTTTTCTGTGCGGCTAATCTGTTTGTTGATCGACATACCTTCTATGTAACATGGAAGACTTTGCCGGAGAGACGGTCTGTCATGGTTGATCTAGCTGCACATCTCAGTGAGAGGCACAAAGCAAGCTTTCTTGCCTGGGCTCGCCGAGTTTTTTTACGTGGTTGCTACCCGATGTCCGAATATTGAACAAACACGATGGTGGGCATGACTGTCTGCCTCTGTGGGATGGTGTTCCGGGCACTTCACTGACTTGCCTGGAATTCTCTGCTCCCGACGCAGGTGCAGCAGATACCATGGTGTGCGGCATTCTTTGTAATGAATTCTGTCCCACTGATATTTCCCATCTTCTGTTCCATCGAAGCTTTCCGTCACAAATGCAGTCATAAAATATTTCATAGGTCTCGTCTTAGCCTCAAAATCAGGCTGATTTCATTTCCCTTTCTAGCTTCACACGCAGCAGCACGCCTCGTCGTACTAGGGTGTTTATATCCTTGAGCTTACGATCACCTCCTGCTGGCGTTTATGATGCTATTTGCTGGATCAATCTTGTTCCCTATGTGTAGCTTCTTCGCTTTGTTACTTCCTCTCAGACCCGCAAAACTTTTAGGGAGTTGGTCTTCTTTCATGTTTCTCCCGTCCCAAGCAACTCGTTAATTTTATTTTGTGCGCAGGTGAATCAGCAGGAACATCAGTAGGTGAGATTTTGCAATCGTGGGTTGACTGCCTGTGTTGTTCTTGATCACGCGGATGGTGATTACACTTACCCCTTCCGATGGGAGGTTTGCATCATTCCGTGTACTGGCGACCATAAGCTTCCCAGCATCCTCACAGGTAGTGTGGCAGGCGGATTGAGGGGGAAATGGGGAACAAGGGATGGGTGTGTTTCACAACAGATCACGGCTAGTCATTATTCTCAACAAGAGCATATCTCTTTCATGATGCTTGATGCTACTATGCTTGGCAATGCATCGGATAGCAACTCTGCCAGTCTGAGAGTGGAGTACATGCTTGTGCCAAGTGAATATGATCATGAGCTTAACGCACTTGTCTGTGTCGATACGAGTCTGGCGAAAAGCGCGCTGAGCAAGGTCCAGTCATCTCGCTGAAATAACTCTCCAGTTGCTGCTACAAATTCCAAAGCATGGGTGCAATTCGACATCGAAAACAGTCCTACCCACAAAATCAGAGCCAAAAGTCGCCACTTACTCCTCCATCTCATCACCCTTCCCGCTGCTCGCACCAAGCGTCGCCCAATTCTCGCTCCACCGTGGGTACACGCGCTTGTACAACGACATACACACCGTATCCATTTGGTTAATAGGCCCATCGAAATGCGCCTTGAAATACCCATGCGTCCCAAGCGACTCCCGGATATGTCCCGTCCGCCCATGTTTTGTGAACAGCTGAATAGGCTTGAAATACTGGATGTCGTCTGTGCCAGAGAGAATGTGTGAGCATGGGGGAAAGAACAAAGAAGAGGAACAACACAAACCTGGGTTGAAGAACATGTACCGCACCGTAGCGGTTTTTTTGTGCACTTTGAACGGGTGGCCCGTGAGGATGATTCGCTTCGCGATGATACGTGTTGTATCAGGATTCATGAACGTGCCCATCGCCACGAGCTCCGGCGCTGTCCGTTTCAATTAGTCAATCATTTATCGTCTCTCCGATGGGAGAACGGGCGCACTTTGTGGATTTTGCGTCTCACGTAGGAGCATGCACGGCTGCTTCCCGAACATAATTGGTGCGTAGACACTCGCGACAGTCGTAGTGCCGTGCCATAAGAACCTCTCGAATTTGTGGACGTTGTTTGCGCCTTTTCCGCCGCCGCGAGTGTGATGAGAGTACACGGGGTTGACGCGTAGCCTGCGGGGACCGTAACACAGGATCAGGGGGTCCTTTGGGGAGCTCAGTTGTGACTAAGTAGGAAAAAGACCGACAGACGACGGACCTTTGATCTAACAGAACCTTCACACTCTGTGTTCCGCTGTACGGTAAAGTGTAGGACTGTCTTCTTGTGCTCGTGTTTCAACAATCCGTATATTACAAACGGCGACTCGGAGGGCACGCTGGCTTCGGGCGAGACACCCTCAATAAAGATTGTTACGCGCCTTCCGGGCTGTAGTAATGTTTTTAGCGATTACTTGGACAGTAATGAGCGGGGATTTCCAACCTCAATACCGTTATCCTCCAATTCGTGCCACATGTCCCTTTCGGTACGCTTGAAGTCCTCGAACTCGAATATCCGTGCATAATCGCTGGGCAGATTCTCATACGGATCCCACGGACTCGTGCGGAGCGATCGAAGCCCACGGAACCGCGCAAACCGTGTATGTGCAGGGATATCTTGTGGGGTATCGATTTCATCGGGGAAAGCTTGGGCGTCTTGTTCTTCTTGGGAGCGCTTGCGCCACGATGTAAGTCTTGGTTGGTTCAACAAATGTCACTCTTGCGAAAGAACGAATTGGGAAAGAAGAGGACGTACTGCTTTTGTTCTTCTTCCATGTCAAGTTCTTGGAACGCAACTACGCTTTTGCGCTCGCTTTCCATGTCCAGTGCATCATCGAGTACCATTTCCTCGTCCTCATCTATTCGCCCCCCTCCCTCCTCCCCGTCCTGGTCCTCATCCTGGTCCTCATCCTCACTCTCATCCACGATCCACGAAGCTTGATACTCAGTCATACCCTTAGGAATGCGCCTGATACGCTTCGGCGTCGTGCCTTTCTTTGCATCTGGTACGTCACCCTCCCCAGTGCCTTGCAGTGCACCCGCCATCTCCTCTTCCGTCGGCCATGTTTGTTCGTTCGCCATATCGTCTGCAACGTTTGTGCTCACCAAGGAGTCCGCGGAGGATGGGAGGCGTTCAACAAGGAGCACAGGCTCAGCTTCCACATCCATGCCGCCAGGCTTAGTATGCTTCGTGCGAGGGAGTGGAGCAGACATAATCTACAGCCATTTTAGATCCACCAAGCCTATTGACCCACCCACCAATGACTCACCTTCGAAACTAAATAATCCCCATGGTTAGGGATATGCACAAGCCGATCGGGGCTAAGTCTTCCCCCACGAACGACACCCGTCACCTTCAACACTCCACCCTCTCCTCGTTCCACACTCTCACCTACCACCCACGGCCGCCCTGCGCGCCATTTGATCTCGCCAGGACACCCCTCTGCGAGGGCTCGTAGGGTGTTGAGTGAGTCTGCTGGCGCACTGAGATCGAACACTCGGCGCTGGGTGGGATCAAAGTATTGTATGAAGGAGAGGAGGCTTTTGAGTACTGCTGGTCTGGCCTTTGCATCGATGTATTCGGTAGTCGTTGGCGGGATGGCTGCGATGACTGTAGGGAGGCCTTGTGCTTGGAGCATGCGGAGGAGGGTGTCACCTGCAGGGGTAACTTCGATGGTCGGGGAGAGCAGGAGGAGCGTATAGTCTGCGGCGCGGGCTGCATCTAGAGCAGCGAATGGGCGAGCGAAGGGTACGGGGAGGAATTGGAGGGACGTTTTGAATCGGGATGTTCTGTGTGTGTGGTTCGATCAGTGTGAGATGAAGGGATTGAAGGAACGAACTTCATGGTCCATATGTTTTTTTTCTCGTTTAGCCCGTGTATCTCTTCATCTACGCATTTTCCAAGGGCCTGGATACATGTTTGGGTGTCGATGTCTTCGGAAAGGGGGATGATGGCGACGATACGTGGGGCGCCATCGATGCCGCTGAAGATACGGGTCGCAGCGATGAGGGAGGCGCGTTTAGTGGCCTGAACTTGCTTTTGGGTGTTGCGCCTATTGAGGCGAGCCTGTGTGACAGTGCTTACTGCCGGAGATTTTGTGCTTTGGCGAGCAGTGCGACCTGTCCGAGGGAAGAAAAAAAATGTGCAGAAAGACTGAGATCAAAATCAGTAAGTGAATGATTGGAAAAGCGCACCTTTTGCGATATCTTTAAGAGCAGATTTAGTGGCATGATGAGATTTGAAGGGTTTGTTTTTCTGTAGTAAGATTAGATGTGATGTGATTTTGGATGAATGAAAAGTTTAGATGAACCTGCTTGAGGGTTGATCTGTGATGGTGCGCTTCTACGACCATCGTGGAGGTGCGCACGTCTCTACGTGCAAATCTCTTGTTCAGCGAAGAGGAGTCGGTGCCCGATTGTCTAGCTCCTGGTAAACACGATACTAGTACTACGTGATATCGAGCCTCGAGTCCAAATTTTAGGATCTCGCTATATCCGGGAAGCACCGGGCCGTCCCACTGCAGGTCAACTAAAGTACACGATGCGAAATCTTTTTATTCAGTATAACTCTCTTAGGCTCTTCGTTGTAGTTCTGTACGATCGATAACCATACAAGTGTGAATGCATCCCTAAGGTGCAGTTTCATGGAGGACCGGACATATGGATTGTAAGTGCGACGAGCATGGGGGTTGCAATTGCACAACATCAATATCATATTCTCCTCTCAGATGCTCATCAGTCTAAAAAGCAATCAATTCAAAGTACTGTTAAAGTGATTAACATGCGTGTATCAAACCAATCGAAAACAACAGTGGGTTGACCGGCATATTCCACAATGATCCTGAAACAGCTCAATCAACTATGGGTGATCAACGACACATCGTATTTACCCAAAAACGACAGTGACTCGCACCGGATGCCTAATACATCCTCGGCGGTAGAGAGAAGGTAGTAGCAGGGTATACAAACGCGGGCTGTACAGGTACATACCCGTTTGGGAACTGTGGATGAACCATTCCCTGGTGCGAGTAAGCCTTTTGCATCTGTGGCGGCCATCCATACAATAGGGACGCGCTGCTCGGTCCAACACCCATCCCCTGCGGGAGGGAATTTTGCCGCTTGTTGTACCACGATGCTACAGGTTTTTTTCCTTCATACACGGGCGATTCTGGGTGGCGGCGGTGGCGGGAGGAACGGCCGGGGAAGTAGGCATCGACGATTTGCTCGTGCTCAACCCAGGGGAGCTGGTCGAGGTTATGTAGAAAGCGCTTGATGGGCGTAGGTCGGGGAGGAGTGAACTGCCGAGGCGAGGGAACAGTGACATAGTCAGTCACGGTGAAGGTTGTGTTGGGGTGGACAGGTTGAACAGTTAAAGAATGAGATTGGGAATGGGAATTTGAATGCGAACGTGAATGCGAATGGGAATTTGAATGTGAACGCGAATGTGAACGTGAATGTGGCTGGGCATGCGTATGAGTACGGGGAGAATGAGTATGGTCAGCGGAGAAATGTGGGTGCGGATGTGTCTCGTGTGTTCCAGTTTGCTCACTTGAGCGCTCATCAACTGTTGAGAGGACTTGAGGGACAGCATCCGCTCCAGGAGCATACACTGGCGATGACGCTGCTGGGGGAGGTGGTCTATGCACATGTGGCTGTTGCTGATATGCATGATGCTGTGGCGATGGTTGCGGGTACAACGGGGGTTGGGGCATGTTCATCAACTCTGCGGTCTGCGCTATTCCAGTGGGTGTGAGTGGGCGCAAACGCAGGCTCGCTATAGTTGGAAATTGCACATCATCGTCATGATGAGCACCAAGTGACGGCGGTACAAAGTCATTCGATGGTGATGGTCTGTGCGGGTGCTTGCGCAGTCCAGGGAACTTGCGGAGGCCTTTGACGAAGCCCCCGACCCAGCGCCGTGCACCTTTCAGCCCGTCTGTGTGGTGTTGAGGAGCGTTAGAGAAATCAAAGTCAACCTCCTCGTTGTCCTCCGGTAACTCTTCCTCATCATACTCAGGGTCCTCCACAGTCATGTATTCTCCGATCATCGGGGAAGGCATTCTCATGCCAGGCGATGGAGCACGTCCCATCATGGGGGAGGAATGTGCCATGGGGAGCGGTTGGTCTGGAAATACAGGTGTGGGGAAGTCTATAGGGTCGGATGAAGGCGGGTGCCATCGCGCATACGGGTCATTAGTTGGAGATGGAGGCTGTTGGCTGATCCAGGATACGTCTCGCACTCGCCTGGGACCAGTACTGTATCTGTTTCTGTGTACGGAGCTAGATGGGTGCTCCCCGGGATCAGCATAGTAGCGCGTGTCTGGATGACCGTGGTAGTCATGATGGTATGAGCTGGCCTCGGACATGTGCGTTGATCACGAGAAGTCAACGCTGTTAATGTCAAGGTGAGCACTTGGCAGCTGCGGAGGACACGATGTCGTGTTGTGGGACGTATGTACTATGTATAAGAATACTCGGAGTGACACTTGTTGGCTGGCCCTAAGGAACCCAAACGCAGCTCTATCTGCGCAGGTCACGATCTGCAAAACAGGATTCGGAGGAATGGAATAGGATGAAACACCAAGTTAAACAACACGGACGTACTATAAGTATATGATAGTCACTGCATCGATCAATAGCTTGGTGGTATCGCTCACATCGTGAGCCTAGGCTCGAAGGTCATTTCAACTTTCCATAGTAGGTTCTCCCACCACTTGGACGCCCATGGCCATTAGGTCGACTCCGACAAAAAGATCTCAAGTAAGTATGTTCTGAAGTAACGACCATCTTTAGTGATCCGGTCACTCTGGAGGAGACTACGCAACGCTACTAGTGACTAGTGACGGTTGATTTGGAGCTCAGAATCATTGCAAGGACAATTGTAATATTATGCATAGTGTGCGCACACGAGCATGGTCTCTCCAAGATCATAGGCAGCGAAGGAACACTACTAGTAGTGGTCGACGGTCTAGTACAGACCTCCGTACGAGTCGGTACGACTGTCCGTTAGTACAAATTTCAAGGTAATTCCCTGGAATTTCAATTTTGCTTATATTACATAAACATGTGCAGGTTTATACTGACGTGAGACTTTCTGGTTAGATATTTTTAGGTTGAACAGTTTGAAATTCAAATAAGGTTGCTATTATACTTACCTGCAGGACCAGTCTTGACGCTATGTCCGCTATTGCCCAGAAAATTCTTGTCGTGGGTGGTAATGGGTTCGTCGGTGAGCTTCCTCGTTGTTTTCGTCCGGTTGTTGGCCTAATCCAGTTCTACTATAGGTTCTGCGGTGTGCAAGGCTGCTCTTGCGCGGGGTATGGGCGTCACCAGTATTAGGTATGTCTGGACTCGTTCCTTCTATCTGTCGATACCATGATTTCATATTTAGTTCATCTGGGTCACCTTACCACACCCCAAAAGGCCATACCCCAGACTGGGTGGAGAAGGTGCGTTAACATGTCCTTTTCATCTTGTACACCGCTTAAAGCCCACAAGGTAGAATGGCGAAAAGCTGACGCCATGAATCCCGACACATATGCTGATATTCTACCTGGCGTCAACGCAGTCGTGCACACCATAGGCACGTTGCTCGATAATACACGACGCAATACACTGTTTCACAACAAGGACTATGTGGGCTTGCTCAAGTCTATCATGGGGATCACACCGGTCGAGGCACGTCATCTGGGAGGCTACGACAAACTTAATCGCGATACTGGTGAGCCTGAGTTACCCTTCACGTCGGCGGCACATCGTCATATGTTACACTAGCCATTCGTATGTGCGAGGCGTTCGCCGCCAGTAAACCCAGCCAAGGAATGACGGATGTTCGCCCGTTCGTCTACGTTTCTGCGGAGGACTTTCACAGGCCTGCTATATCGGTGCGATACATAGAGACCAAACTGGAGGCCGAGAGGAAAATCGACCAGATCATGAAAGAGCATCCACAGTATCGAGCAGTGCACGTTCGGCCTTGTGAGGATGCATCCCCGAGCGGATACTTGTAGACGCTGACTTATCTTGTCTAGCCATGATATACGACCCCGAGACCAGGCCGATGACCATTCCGGCCAATCTCTTTACCTTCTCGGCGTGGATGCACGCAGCTATGCCGTCCTTTGTACCGATGCCAGCGTCCGTCATCCGCTGGCTTGGCACAAGTGTGTTCCCCAAAGCGACCGAGCAGACGCCTTCTGCGTTGGTATCTATTGCCACGCTGCTGAGCGTCCCACCAATTCAGGTCGACCATTTGGGGGAAGCTATCTGCGCTTCGCTGGATCCTGCTAAAAACGTGAGGGGACCTGTGGGCGTACGCGCTATGAGGGAGCTGATTGGATGGTCGAAAGGGGGGCCTAATATTGCTTCGTCTGACTCTTGATTGTTTGCTGATATGATAGAATATTGTTCACTTTCCCATCTAAATATAGCCTTTTGCTGTCGAGAATGCTATCATATCGCTGGTTGAACTGGAGCAGGCTCGAATGGCATGATACATCTTGGATTAGCACCATGGTTATGCATCGTACGCCCATCAGCAAAATTGAGCGTGCCATTTGCATCAATACCCATCGCCTCGAATGTTAAATACTAAATCATCGTTGGCGTTGGCGAGCTCGAGGTTTTTGACGCCGCTGTTCCCACTACTCGGGTAAGTCAAAGCCAAATTGGCAGCTGACAAGGTTTGCGAGATCTTCGCATTACGTCCTTAATTTCAGTACGTTACGCTGCATGTACGTACTTGGTTCTTTGAAGCTTTGTAAAGCGGGAGTATTTCAAATTTTCGGAAGGGTAACAAAGGTACTACTTGGCCGAATTTTCCGCGCAGAATGTCTCAGTTCGGGTGCCCCACAAGATGGTGCCATTCTCATTTTTATTTATTTCATGCTTGGCCTCATGGAGAGACATGCCAGTGGTCGTCACCAGAAAATATATTCCGTGGTCGCATCATAATGTGTATGGCAAGTAAAAAAATCAGAAGAGAAAGAAAAGAAGTCATCGCATCTAGAATTACTGGGTTGTGAGAAGAAGGTCGGCGAAAGCTCCAGCCCAAACCCAAAAGCCGAACCAAGCATTGCTGAGGAGGGTAGCATCGCAGCTCTCCTTGTTTTCAAAGTCTGTCCTGGCGAGGAGTCGGGCGAGGTGAAGTGCGCCCATGGCAACACCACAGAAGAATGGCCAGCCGTGCCCGTTGCAGTACCCGGCGTACGACACCAGAGAACAAACAATGGCGGAGAATATGGCGAGAATAGGGCGGATTTGATCTCCAAAGATGATCGTGGTCGAGCGCACACCATATTTGGCGTCCTCATCTCTGTCCTGAATTAATTTCGCTGCATGAGCCGAAGAACGCGGAAGGAAAAGAAGGTCCTTACTTGACGAGCGTAAGAAGTGTCGTACACAATCGTCCAGTTGGCAGCGCCGAGGTACAGAGGCACGTACACATGCCAGTCAACTGCACCAACAACCGAAGCCGCGCCGAGTAGTGCTCCCCAGTTGAAACACAAGCCTATCAGATGACATCAATCACCGCGATGGTCCTGAAACTCAGTATAACATACCAAGCACCGCCTGCGGCCAATTGGTCACACGCTTCATGGCAGGATACAACACCACCAGGCCCAGGGACGAAAGTCCAAGTCGCAAGCTTGAAAAAAAAATAGAAATGATAAATATGGCGACCAACGGGGGTTTTTTTTTTTACAAATACAACACACCTGTATTCATTCAGCTGCATCAAGAGCCAGACGCCAAGAGCCAGCTGTGGGATAAGAAAGACGAATGCCCCGAACATTGAGACATCACCCGAAGCCAAGGGCCGCGTGCTTGTTCGCGCTGACAGTAAAAGTATTAGTGGGAGCCATCACAAGGTTGACTGAATGTAACACTTACGAACGGCAGCATCAACGTCTTTGTCCCACATGTCATTGATCACGCAGCCAGCGGAGTGGAACACTTGGGCGGCAGCAAGGAACAACCCAACATATGTCCACATCGTCGAGACGGGCGCGCCGTGTGCGTAGCAAGCCATGGTGACCGACCATGCTAATTATTATTGCTCAAGTCAACGACCAATAAACTAACACTACAAAAGCTGCTCACCGCATGGATAGAACAGCAAGAGCGTTCCGGCAGGGTTGTGAACTCGTGCCAGATAGAGGTAAGGACGTATTTTGGATGGAAAAAGGTCTACCCAAGTCCTATCCGACGACAAGTGCTGAGAGTGCTGCTTAACAACTGTTGATTTGACCTCCATAGCAGAGTTGGCGAATGGTTAGATGCGGTAGAAGAGAAGGATGACGGGTTTTTATACCCTTCCATCTTGTTCGCTTCAAGACGAAAGTGAGAAATTTAAAATATGACATAGCTTGCCCATCGTTCCACAGTTAATCAAAAAGGGGGTGCCCTTTCCGAACAGGACAACCGAGGAAGGATAACAGCCCTATCATAGCCGAGTTTGAAAACCGTATAGTGCGGCTCGGCCACAACAACGAGTCCCTGAACACATGTAATTACTAATCAGTACTAGTAGTGGCAAGACCTCAACCACCGCTCAATAAGCATATTTCCTCGCCAAGTATTCCTAAGTCGAAGTTCACCGCTTGTTCTGCCATCCATTACCCCCTCGCGCTTTCACTTCCTACAGCCTACGGACATCGGCGCCGACAGACACCGTGACCTCAATTGGAGTCACCGCATCGACGTTTACGGTCGACCGCATTCCTTGGGGCACTATCTGGCCTCTTCAGCCTGGTGTCATCGTTTCCCTCGTGTGCGTCACCCTCATGTGTGTAGTGTAGCATCTTGACAGCGTTTTATCCTTTACATATGATGAAATTTTCATCATGAAAAAACTTGGGCTTTCGTGTCTTTAGTTTGCTGGATGGGGATGCAATATAAATTTATGACTACCAACATGATGGGAACATGTATAGCAGGGTAGTGTATCAGGTGGAGCTGCAAGCTAGGAAAAGAAGAAAAATCCAGGATGCAGTGGAATGACTGGAGAAAGAATATGAAGGCCACACCAATGTCGATTACTAACAAGAAGAATCGGTGGGGAGGGGATGTTGACTGGCGCGACGGAGATCTGGCGCTAGACCTTGATGTGCTGTTCCAAAAACGAAATCAACCGGCAGCGACGGCATAGCTAGGCTGCAGGTCCCAGGACTGAGCAAGCGGGATTGGCGTCAAGAGTTACGAGCAAGACGCAGAGAAGATGGCGGCATTCGTGGTATTTTTGTTGGCAGAACTTGGCAGTCGTGCCAATCGGTTTGGCAGAACTGGTTGTGCTGGATCTACTCGCGCGAAGGGAGTTGGCAGAATCTGGCAGTATTCCAGACTCGCAGAGATGTAACTGGAAACTTGCTGTTGCGCAGGTAGGTCGCACGTTGCAAAGTGGATATAATGGCGAAAAACTCTCGCATGACCTGCAGGCCTGTATCAGCCAGTAGGTCCATTTGCTAGCGGCCAAGCGGACGGCCTTTCTTGGTGGAAAAACCTTGCAATCAATTTCGAAATTGACCCACTCAAGGTCTTTGCTAGTATGACGAATGCATCTGGGACATGCAGGCGAAGTAGAAAGCATATTCTCTGATCTGGGCACACGCAACGGTATGATCTCTTCACTGTAATGAGGATAAGATTGATGTCATCGTTAGGAATGTCGTACACACCTATTCTGCCAGTTCTGCTGGAGCTAAGTTGCGCACGGGGTCCAACCTTTACTAAATAACGTCATTTGAATAGTAACATAGTTTCATTATCGATTGCGAGCCGATCTATTTCGGAATATTAATGGTCACTATGCCGCATCTCTGAGAGTTTCGCTTGCCTGTGTGTCTAATGCTACTAGTGTTTGCTTATTTCCTACCTGCTTGTCAACCACAGCACCGTGTCGTTTCCAGTCTACAGCTGCAATGTCCTGCTTCCAAATGACTAGAACTGTGACGGCAAGCCCAAGGATGACGAGATACGGTGGCGTAGACGCGGCAGGGTGGCTGTGATAGTAGATACACCTTTGACTGCCCGGAACTTTCCGATCACAGATACGCCCAGAGGTGATTTTGCGCGGAGTCTACAAATTTTGTACAGACTTGGCCATTTTCAACATGAAGCAAGCTCAAGGTTCGGTATTGAGTGTCGTTCGGGCATATCCCTGTTCAGTATAGTCTAGGATGAGCGCTGAGCTGCATGCACTATCAGTCTGGAGCTGTCATCATAGAATTTCGTATTTCTGTTCGGTATAGTCTCGGACGAGCAATTATATTTACCGATCAGAGTTTTGACCCGTCGAACAACCACTGTCATCTTTGTTTGGTATAGTCTCGGTCGTATGGTGGACGCCATCATGCACTTCGATTTGCCGCGACTTATTTGGAAGCTCGATCGAGCATACGCCGTAAATTTGTGTCACTCCCGACACGTTTCCTTGCTTGCAGCTCAAAGGATGGGCCAACCCTAGCCTGATTTGAAAGAGTAAGCTGCAACAGATATGCCTGATGTGCCTCTGGGCTATACCAGTATGTCAATTAATCTCATCGTTGTGTCTTTTGTGCAACCAGTGAATGCACCGTGTGTCAGTATTTTACAAAATATGGTCATTTGACCAGATGGCGAATTTCCAGGGTAAGTCTGGACAAAAATAGTACGATAGCGTTGAAAGTTTTTCACTCTGATAGGCTCGATATCGACCGTAATTGCATGTGGATTTCCTGGAAGATGCGCTTGCTCTCCCGAACAGGTCTACACTATCTATGCATACAGCTACACTATCTCTAGTACTTGTCTTGACGGCAGGCTCCAACGTGTAGCTCATAGAAGCCATAATATCTCTAAATGTCACGATCCGGCGCGATCCTCTTTCGCAAACATGCACCAACTTGGAGGCTATTCGAGGCGAACTACGGCCGCTCAAATACAGTGCTAGCGAGCGAAAATTTTCGGTTTGTGCGGCAGGTGAACCGTGACATGGACCTGTAGTATTTTCACGGCACCGACCTCCATGTGTCGATGGAAGTTATGCCTTTGACTTGTGCAGTGAAGCTATCGTCCAACATGATCCTGTTGTATTCTGTAGCAAAAATGAACCGAAAGGTTGTCCCAGGTGAGCCATCAACCCCAATGCTCGTGATTGAGGTTCCAGTGACTCCTCTGCTACAGGCGAACTACCAGGTAACTTGTCACAGTGGTCCATCAGGCCTTCAGGGCTCGGTCCAATCTCATCATCTGCAAGGTCAACCTCCAGGAGATACCGATCCCACGGATGGACAAACAAGAACATTATTTATTGAATAGGATTTGGCCGACCAGCAATATTATTCTCAATAATGAAAATCCATATTTGGATGAGGCAGTGAACAATGTTCTATCATATCAGCAAATTAAGAATCCGACCGAGTAGTGCTAGGCCCCCCTTTCGACCATCCAATCGGCTCCCTCATAGCGCGTACGCCCAAGGTCCCCTCACGTTTTTAGCAAGATCCAGCGAAGCGCAGATAGCTTCCCCAAGTAGTCGACCTGAATTGGCGGCACGCCCAGCAGCTTGGCAATGCAGGTGTCTGCTCAGTCGCCTTTGAGAACGCCCTCGTTCCGAGCCAGCCAACGATCGACGCTAGCATCGGTACGAAGTACTGCATGCATGCGTGCATCCACGCCGAGAACGTGAAGAGATTGGGCGGAATAGTATCAACCTCGCCTCAGGGCGTATTTCATGGATCACGACAAGTCAGCGTCTGGAGGTATCCGCGCGACGATGTATCCTCACGAGGCCGAATACTTGATACTGTGGATGATCTTTCATGATGTCGTCGATTTTCCTCGGCCTCCAGTTTGGTGTCTATGTCGCACCGATATAGCAGGCATGTGGTCCTCTGCAGAAATGTAGACGAACGGGCGAACATCTGTAATTCCTTGGCTGTGTTAACTGTCAGTGAACACTTCGCACATTCGGACGGCCAGTGCAACTTATAACGACGCGCCGTGAAGGTAACTCGGGCTCACCAGTATCGCGATTAAGTTTTTCATAGCTTCCTAGATGAGTCTACGAAATCCTTGTCGTGGCTGTTCATTGCACTGCGTATTATCGAGGAGCGTGCCTATGGTGTGCACCATTGCATTGACGCCAGGTAGAATGTTACCATATGTGTCGGGATTCATGGTGTCAGCTTTTCGCCATTCTACCTCGTGGGCTTTAATTAAGGCGTTTTACGATATGAAAAGGAGTTATTGCGAATGCACCCTCTCTACCCAGCCTGGGGTATGACTGTGACCTTTTGGGGTGCGATCAGGCATCCCAGATGAACTGAATGATATAGTATCGACAGACAGCAGGAATTCGCTGCCGAGGCACGTGCTACACGCATGATCGATGATCAATCATTAATCATTGATGAGTGTACGGTTTCGTTTGGTTGTCATTGCGCAAATGGCGGATGTTACATAGCATTTAGCAGGTGCTTGTGTCTTCTCGGCTACTGCTAAGTGCAACTGCCGGTAGCGCCTCTCCACTGCAGCTCATTAATCATTCTGCATCCATGCTACATGTCTAGAATGGTGTTTTGCCGAAATCTGTGCACTGACATTCTCCTTTTCTGGGTGTCTTCGAGTTTAGGGATGCAAGGTGAGTTTTTTCTGTTTACTGGACCGTTTTTCGATGGATTGTAGCGGTCACTTCAAATATATCTCCGTGTGATGAAGGCCATTATGTTTGATTTCAAATCGCCTTCGCTGTTTTTAGGTCTGGCCTTCCAAGGCCCCAGGGCTTTTGGGACCTTTTGTATCCGGCTCTTTTTTTGCCGCAGCGGATGTGGTTCATATGAAGGACTGCGACGAGAAGAGTATTATTGTTGATTTATGTTCTACTCAAATATTTTATTAAGGTCGGAGCCTGTAATCCAAGAGGCAGAGCCCAGCTGGAGGCGTGAGCCCATGTTTCAGATATTCATTCACCCATTGATGTCGGATCGTCTTTTGGAACCAACTGCGTCTTTAAAATCGCCACCTGACTGTCACACTGCAAAGGCCTTTTACTGTCCCTACCAATGTGTATCAGCCTCTATAAAGTCAAACTTTCGTGTGACTCCTCATAAGCACTAACCGAGTACATGGCTAGAGAGTGGGCGGCCGTGTGAGGTGATATATGCGACGATAACAAGGCCCGGCAAGCACGAGGCTTAATGACGGTGGCGCTGTCGGACTAGGCTATAATAGAGGGGATCAAGGGTACGAAAGCAAATTTGGATGTTATCGCGCCCGCAGTACTATGTACAGCCAACACTTTTTCTCAGCACCAACGAGGCAGAAGCATTGCAGTTCCTTGATTCATTAGGTAATATGAGGTGCGGATATGTAGCGAACCTCATTGCTGGACCTCGACTATCACCTGAGCGTTCTTGCAAACCAGTCTAATTCGAGCTGTTAGTGACCTGGTCAATGAGCGCTGACCGGCTAAATTTGATGGAGATCCGAACCAGTGTGCGACTCGGTACCAGCGCTAGTGCATGAGTATTTTATGCGCGCCAACATTTCGCCCACAGCTACATACACCCCCTCCAGTCCAGTAGGCACAAACTAAGTAGACCTTTACTACCTGTTCCCTATGTCATACGGCAACGCATCAAGTGCGGCATTAGACAGGCGAACAGGTTCGATTCCAGTGCCAGTGTGAGAGTTTCCATCTTTCTCGCGTTTCAAATATTCAGGAGGATGTGTCCTTGATTTGGTTCAGATATCGTCATGCAGCACCCTCGGGACCATGGCCTTGGGTAGATTTCAACACCGACCTTTCGTCCTCTGACCCGCCATTTGAAAAGGGCAAACATGAATGGCGTGGATACCCGCAAGAGCTTTTCGGCAACTGGACTGCAACTCCAGTGGGACGAAGTGAGATGTTAAAACGATGTCCGCGCAGCGACCCGTGCATCATATATGGCATTGACGTAATGAACAACGGTCAATTCGAAACACATGAGCTGCATCGCGTTGAGAATGAAGACGAACTTTGGTCAAAATTAGAGAAGGAGGAAAGTATTGTGCTTACCCCGTCTCACCAAGCTTGTTAATGAGTGACAATCAGGTTCGGGAAAACGTCTCCGTTAGAGCGCTGTTCGTGGACAACTTGTCGGAATCCGTCTTGAAGATACTAGGGACAAAGTTCGTAATCCTGGGCTGGCTTCAACTTCGGCACTGAAACTGCCTTTTTTAGGTATAACATCGAGCCATTTTTCTTTTCATCCTCCACAAACTGGATACCTTCGCGATACCGGGAAGATGTTCGACATGGAGAGGGGGATCGTACGTTTAATGACTACCTTTTGGTCCTGGCAGGGGTTGTTAATCTGTTGTTCTGGGTAGATATCACAATCATCCTTCCTTTTATTCGGACCACGGGGAAGAAAAGGAAGCCACAATTAAGTCCTAGCTTATCCGGTATGAGTCTGTCATTTGTTCGATAGTCGACCGTTTCTCATCACAAAACATACAGAACGGAAAAAGAAAGATACCATAGATGTCATGTTACCCCTTCAGTTAGACGACGGTAATTCGCACTTGCTTTTACCGGACAGTTTTGTCTGAGTCCTTTCATAGGCGAACATGTCCATGACCTTCTCATCGATCTTCTGGCAATCCACATGATTCGAAGCAAGGACTCCGCTACAATCATATCGTATCATCCTGTGCTGCATGATCGCACTACTGCCGAGCGCTTGCATCAGGTCATGGAACGCGCAGGTGGAAGTGTTTACTGGAATAAAATATTCAAGGCATCTGAAGATCCAACCTTTTTCTTTCTGGCAATCTTGTGGTACGCGCTGTATGCGTGGGATGAGGCATTCGAAGTGCTGTATAACCGCATCAAGAATGTGGTATGTACGCAGTCTGTCCGAATTGTGGGGAATGCTCATCATATCCAGGAGGTAATCTTGAACGGCCACGACTTCACCGCCATGTTCGACCTCAACTATACCCTTCACAGCCTTCAGGCGCACCTCCTCCAGTATCAAACCCTCCTTCATGATTTCGAATTATCGGTCACATTTGTTATGGAGTCTCCAAACCCTGCAATGGAAAATTCACACAATAAGGGTACTACAGAAGAGTTGATGCAACGAGAATGCAAGAACCTCCTTTCCGAAATCGACAGGTTACACAAGAGATGTTCGATGTTCATCAATCGGTTAAAAAATGCCACAGATTTGGCATTCGCCACTGTAAACATCGAGGATAGTCGTCAAACGTTCAAGTTAACGAGGGCGACCCTTCGAGACTCTGCAGCGATGAAACAGGTGTGCTGGTAGCTACATGTTACATATGCACTGACAGAGCTCATGCCTTCTGCAGATATCATACCTGACCATGATATTCTTGCCCGCCAGTTTTACTGCTGTACGTGTTTGGATGTATAACACGAATAGGAGCGCTCACTGATTGAACAGTCGGTCTTTGGGATGAACGTGCGCGAAATCAATCCCGGCTCCCTAGAGTCGATCACACGCTATGTTTGGGTGTCTTTCCTGCTGACTTTTGTCACAACGTGGATCGTTATCGCTGTACAACCATACAGTACAATCCACAAGCCTGGAGCCAGCTTGTGGCGGAGGGCTATTTGGCCTGCCCTTTACATCACCCAAAAAGTTATTGAGTACTTCAGGTCCTTCTCGGTCAAGAGCAAGAAGACATCGCTACAGGAAAACAATATATCCTTGGGTTCATATCGCAGGAAAGATGATTCTTCTATTTTGAGGTTCGACGACGCAATATATGAGGAGGGTGCGATTGGTACTTCGATATAGTGAGTGTTTACGGATAGGATTACACTTCAGAAAGCGAGGGGCCCAATGCCCATTGCAATCCATTTTTCAATTACAACAAGGTAGAACAGTGCACGGACTATATACATACGTACATACCGTTAATTTCATGGTATCATTCATATGCCCCAACATTTCATTCTGCATGATTCTTGTATTACAACTTGCGCTTGAGCACAGGTAAAATATTACCCTTCCGAATGCGGAATACGTAGGTGAGAGTGAAAATTGCAGCGACCTTGGAAAGTAGATTCTTTCGTGAACACCCAGAGTACCAAGGGATGCAACTCACATTAAACAAAGTGACACCAAGCATGATACCAACGTCACGCCAGCGGTGAGAATACTCGATATTGAATCCAGTAAACATGTACTGGTCTGTCGTCTGGAACGGACAGTAGAGGCAGTTCGATGTCGCATTGGGGTTCGCTAGATATCCGCCCGCGTAAGACATGAAAGGATCCATGTAATTAGCACACGTGAGTCCTGAGGGAGGAACAATTGGAACAAGTTCCGTCGATGCGCAAACAATCGCCTGTCCGCTGACCGCTAAGAACAGGTTGAGCTCGATGCCGAAGCCAAAACCTAAGCACAAACCTTGACCGAAAAGGCCTTCAATGAGATAGGTAAAAGGCGAAACCCTATACATCCACCGCCACCAACCCAACGCACTGAATGGCTGCAGGACACCGTTACTAGACCATAAATCAGTAAGCAGCGATGATATCAGCTAAGAAATTTGACTTACAATATGACGACAAATGCGAAGAGCGTGCTGAACAACAATGAAGCAATAAATGCAGTTGGAGCCATGGAAGCTATTGCGAGTGCGATCGTCGTGTAATAAAGCGGGAATATGACTCCATACATCAGGTAGGTGTATCCGGCCCGGTCGTTGTAGAATCCGACTGACCAGTACCAGCAAACAAAGAAGATCGACGAGCAGAAAATGTTCCAAGGTATCTCGACGAGGATTTGAGAGGTGACGAGAGCAGTCCATTTGTACATCCTGCTCTGGCGCTCCCGGACTTCGTAAATCGACCGAATGTCGATGTAGACCGCCTGCATCTGTTGAGAAAGGGGGACACATAGAATCGTGGCTAAGAAAAAGGACTGAGACCAATTAGCCAACAAAGCCACTTCATCGAATGTCGGAAGTCATACAAAGAGTTTGTTTTGTGTACCCTGGAGGGAATCTTTCGTATTGTAGAATGTGAAACCAATCAATAGACCACCAGCGATGTTGAGAACGAGCTTTCCCATCAAGTAGGTCGGATTCCGCCAATATGCTTGGAAGTTGCGCTGTGTAAGAGCAATGGTCTGGTGCTTCCATGAAGTAGCAAACTGTGTGCGTAGTTCTGTCTGAACAACAGGACGAGATCGACCTTCGGTGTGAATGCGTCCAAGCTCGTCTTCAAGGGCAGCAGCTTCCGGCGAAAGTCGCCAGATATTATGCCAATCAACAGATGTGTTCGCGGTCGCTCCAGCGCCAATGACATC